AACCTCAGCGCTCACTTGTTTGTATACATACATACGTGATATATTCATCATCTTTATCAGCTTTGACCAATCACTGCTGGAAGAAGTCCCCCCGCCCCTGCCCAAGCCGCCCTCTTGCGATGCTACAATCCATCACGCACGTGCACAGGAGCCGAATCGCATCGCTTCGTCTCTCCACGGTGGACGTGCCCTCCTGGGTGGGGTTGTCGTTCTCTCTTTAGTTCGTCTCGACCGCCGTGACAGTTCGGATGATGTCTCGTGAACTGGATCTCGGGCAGCTGTTGAACGCGGATCATGAATGAAAAAGCATGAAGGGCGGTTCATCAAGGTGCGAATGTAATTCCTCCACCGCGGCCGTCAGATGTGCGTCGTGATAGTCTGTGCACGTGTTATGTACCAATGGCTATGTTTCTGAGATTTGCGGTAATATTTGACACGGTTATATCAATCACATTTACGAGTTTATTTTTTTTAAGTCAAACGAAGATGAAAAATATCTCCATTCTACAATATTTGTCCTGCAGTATTTCTATTTGCTGTGTTGCGTTTTGTATTTGCCTTGTAACTCTTCCTTGAAATGGAGACCCGAGGTCTCAACGAAACCCCCTTCACCTGCTCGCGAATCGCTTTCTCTGTGTGGGCCTCGTGTTTTCGTTGCAGAATAAAAGTTGCGTCTTGGCAGAGGCACCTTGGCGACACCTGCTGGCTGGCGAGCGAGCGAGTGCGAGCGAGTGAATCGTCTCTGTCTGGCAGTGCGCCAGGCGAGACGAACCCCCCGCAACCTCGGTTCGCTGAGGAGCGGTGGCGCAGTGGTTAGCGCACCCCCCCCCCACCCCCCAATACGCCAGGATGTATAGAGGCGGTGGCGCGCAGTGGTTCGAACTCGGCTACCGACATGAGTTCGATTCCCGGCCACGGCCAACGTCAGTGGGCGAATATATCATCCGGTTCTAGACCTCGCCGGGACAGGTTCGCTGGAGAGATAAAGGCGGCCGGGCGTGTTGCTCACCACACCACCAATTGTGTGCTTTGCAGAGGCCGCGCTGACCAGCGTGAAGGATGGACAAACAAACCCCTAACAAACAGTACCCGGACCCAGTGTACGTGACGGTGGCGTTTGCGTAAGCAGCAATCTTTGGGTCGGTTCCAACTTGCTGAGTCTCATCAGCGGAGTGCGGCCTGCTAAACAAATGCGGCTCCGATGACCATTCGACATCCGTTGACCTTCTCAGTGATCTCTGTGACTGTTCTAGCGAAGCGGTTGCTTCCAAAGTCGAACTTCTTACATTAGCTGCACGCTTCTAGATCATTTCCCTCTTGAGCGTAAGCCAACACCTGACACCAGCAGTCGCTACGCTAATGTACGACCCCTTCGTCAACCTACTGCTAGACGAAGGCCTCCCTCTCCCACGCCGTGTCGGCCTCGTGCCAGTTGCTTGACCACACTCCAACGTGATGTTTTGGAGCAGGTTGGTTGGAGGCTGGCGAACGGGGGGGGGGGGGGTCCCAGGACCGGTTCGGATACCGCTCACAAACGGACGTTGGCTGCGGTCGGGAATCTGTACTCATTGGCGTCATCGAGACTCATAAATCAATGTATCATTCTTCGTTAATTTGCGCTGCGGATGACCATAACAGTCCCGTATTTGTGACCTTGTTTAAACGGGGGGGGGGGAGGCACACGCTGGATGCGGGGGATGAGGGTTAAGACAACCCAGAGGGTAGTGGTGGTGGATGGGGGGTACAACACGGTCAATGTTAAACAAACTTTTGATGTCAACGTTAAACGCTCAACGCAACGATGCCGCCTGCGTTTGTCGTTTACGCATCTGGCTCTCGCCCCCCCCCACCTCATGCTTGTGCGCCAAAGCTGTGACGCGCAACGGTGAATTGCAAAAATAAAAGATTGCGTGTGCATCTTGTCCAAATTATTTGTATGTCCAATATAATAATCATGAAACACTTCGGCTGGGAAGGGGGCTGAGTCCCCCCCCCCCCCTCCTCCTCCAGCCAGCCATTTAAATCGTATGTATGTTGAACTTCTTTCGCACCGTACGTAGCCAACCGTGCCATTGCCCCCGAAGCAACAAGGGGAACAAAAAAAAACCCCGTTAACTTTTAATAATTGCGAGTAATCAGGCCAGAGTGTGATTAGTGAAGCGGCAACTAAACTTACCACTCATTAACAGGGATGGCCAATTATGTAATGGCTCACAAAGTATCACTGATTGCCTGGCTAATGAGTTACAGGCACATCTGAGAATGCGATGGGCGATCGGCCACATTTGTCTCGACTGCGGTCAGCCGCGCCGGGCTCGCGCTTTTGCTTAATTTTTTTTATTTTCACGGTTGCCGAGCACAGGGCTCCAACACGCCAGCAACAAACAGCACTCTTAAAAGTTGTGATCGTCAAAGTGACGTCTAGCTCTCGAGTGAGCATTGAGGTTATACTCGCCCGCTATTTTACAGATCCAAGTCAGTTCTTGGAAATTATACATTCCTATGACAGGGGCGAGGCTCCCTATAGGATAATCAATTGTTGATTTCCCTATAACAGCGGTACTCACGCATGTTTACTGCTGGACCACGTGTTCCCGGATAAAGATGTAGGTAGATAATTGTTAATACATCTCTTGAATTCAGTAAGGTGATTACAGGAACTTTCGGGAAAAGACGACGTGGGAAAAAATTCCAGCAGTGCAAAGGAAGAAGACATTTCCCGCACATCCGATGAGCACGATTGGCTACGTACGGTGCGAAAGAAATTCAACATACATACATATACTATAGATAAACGTTGTGACCGGCTGTGGTAGTTGGACAGTGTGGATGAGACGAAACGGTGAGTCTGACAGATCGAGTCCGCAGCATGGAAGGATGAATTCACGAGTGGAAAGAGTAACCATGATGGCTGTTTGTAGTAGCGATAGGAGTGACGAGGAGGCGACCGACCACCGGCGTTTGAATGACAGGACTGAATCGGCGAGTGCTGGATCACCCTGGATCACTCTGAATTATATACGCGGTGCAGTGAGGTAGGAATTGGGTGCTCTGACCAAGCTCTGACAGCGATATTACCTCGACCGACTTTGTGCTGCGTACGCTGTACCGTTTTAGCGATCATTCATTTTGGAAGTTTTCTCATTAGGTGTGGTCAAATATCACCGTCGCTTTGCGTCGCTGCACCGAAGAAAAGCAACGCAGCCAGGTGCGCTCTCACACATCATCCACACACCCACGCACATCATGCACACACCCAGGCACATCATCCACACACACACGCACATCATTCGCACACCCACGCCCACGTACATTATCCAACACACATCCAAACACCCACGGTACAGCAAACACCCACGCACATCATCCAAACACGCATACATCAACGAAACCCACACACGCATCATCCATACACCCACTCACATCATCAGATATATATATACACACATACACGGGCCTTTGCCAATCCACTGCTGGATGAAGGCCTCCCATGACACGTCAATCACGGGACTGGTTCATGCTTTACCGCGCTGGTTACTGCGGGTTGCTGAAATCCTAGGACCGGTTCAGACATCACTCGCCACCGATGCTATCCATGGCCGGGGAAATCGTCCTCGGGTTTTGCGAGATTCGTAGTTTCGTGGGCTAACCACCGCGCCACCTCTCCACCCGTAAAGAGAAGCCTTCCGAGTCGAGGTACTTGGATCACGAGAAGAATGATCACCTTTGTTTTCGAGTGAACTTAACTGGCAGCTGAACTTAAACTTTCCAAGCGGTTCCAAAGTAATTATTTTAGGTCCCTTGGGGCAAAACGGTGAAGTCACGCAAGAGACAAAGATCCCCCGTAAAGCCTTAACAGACTGTTGGGGCAAGTGCTGTGAGCGAGCAGCACCTATGAAGGCCGTCACGGCACACGAGGGGGTGGGTGGCCAGCACCACGCCCGGCCACCCCGTTGTTTCCCAAGTGGCGATGTTAACACATCGCACCAGGTACTCATATGAGGCCGAGTCGATCTAGGGGAGGCCCAGGACTGTCCCAGGTGTTGGCCAAGAAGCGAATTCGGGTGGCCGGCTTCGTAGCGCAGCGCGCTAGCCGCTACACTACCGCTCCCCACTTTGTCTTTGAAGTCACGCGCACACACACTCACAGACACAATCTACTCCGTAACCAAGGCCAATTGCCTGCAGGGGAAAAAAAAACACAATCATAGAAACCTTCGGCAATCATCGACCACACACACACACACACGTCTCCCACATCCTCGCTAATGGCATTACAACAACAAAAATGCCAGCGGACAGCCCATCAGAATGATCGGTAACTACAGACGCGCCCACGGTGTGGTTCACGGGCAGTCAGTCTGGGCTTGTGACAGATTCTGGCTTTGCGAGTCCCCTTGAAGCCAAAGTGAGCAAATCACTCGGAATGTGCCCGGCCTCGTCACATCTGGGAAGCCAAGCCGTCACGAGCCTGGATCGTGCTTGGATGTGTGACCGCTGTGCACGTCACGTGAGCCGCTTTGTGGAGCAACCTTGGCGGGCAGCCGAGTGGAGTTGAGAGGAAGTCAAAAAAAATCCACCAAAGTTGTGCAGCACCTTCTACGCTCCCACATTTATACTCCTCGCCTTCACCAATCTGCACCGGCCAGTGTGGTGAACCGCGGTAAACGTAATCGCCACGACCCGCACGGCGTGGGGTTGGCTTTCATCCAGCAGTGGATTAACAAGAGGCGCTGTGCACGTGTACAGGTCAAGAAAGCCCGTGGACAGCCAGCTGCAGCCGACGGGAGTGAACTCGAGTTGATTTACAACCGGAGTTGTCTAAAACATCGCGGCATTCCGTAGATTATTCCCAAGTTACTCGAGTCATCACGTGGGCAGGTCCTCCCTTGAACGGGGAAAAAGCGCCGCTGACAACAGGCATCCACACGACACCCGCGTATTCAACGCTGTGAAACTCCCGAGCAATGCAGGATTGAAGATTCGCATACGTCACAAACCTCGTTTGTTTGTTTTTATTCCATACAGCTTCCTTCTTCACACGGCAGCGAAATGAAACAGCCACCAAGGACAGGGTGGAGAAGAGCCACTCGAGAGGCTCGTGGTAGAACGTGGCAAGCAACAGAAGTTGGCATACAATAGGTGGCACGCAATGTGACAAGCAATAGAACGTGGCAAGCAAGCTATGTCGATGTAATGAGGAAGAGGAGTTTGTGATGGACAAGGCACGTGCGTAGCAAGAGAATAGTGTACGCAACAAGGCCAATGGGAATAGGGCACGGGTGAGAAAACATTGTTCGGCACAATAAATTAGGAGGTTGCGATTGCTGGGACGCGTGTGTAGGATAGAGGGAGCAGTTGAGAGTGGCACCCAGCGGTCGGTGAACAAGGGGAAGACGATGAGACCGGAAGAGCAGACACAGAAGACTCGGCTCTAAGGAAAGCTGTCACGGGTGTGGACCAATCAACTGCAAGGACAGTGCATATATTATCAGAGTTATGTTTTTTGTTTGCATTATGGCTGCAGGTATTGTGGTCTATGCAAACATGACTCCATGTAAAAAAAGGTGTCAGTTTTGTTGCCAGAAAGAAGGGTAAAAAAAACAATTATCAGACCCAGAAGGTCAAGGTGTCAAACTTTGCAACGGCAAAGGGAATCTCGCAGAAGGAAGCGATGGCGAGCTGCGATAGCAACCGGCACTGGCCGTGATGACCTCATTGCCTACACTTGTCCATTCTGAGCAGCGAACCGAAACGCAATCTAATGATCGGATGGCCATGAGTCACTGACATCGCACTCATCCGCGCACAGCTTTTCAACCACATTTCCGCCCGCTCAATTGTGCACTGCAATAGCGTAACCACAAACACACAGGGTGACGAGGGGCAGCTATTGAACTGCACCTGACATTTGTCCCAAGTGCGGCACAGTGATTCTAAAGGAAGGTTACGGCCGACTCGGGAGTGAACAGGGCTCCCAGCGGTGCTCTCGGCATTACGCTCAAGAGACTCTTCGCAGCTAGCAGTGCAATCATCGCCTTGTGTTGGAGAATTGCCTCCGGAGATATCAAAGAACAACACCTCGAGTGAATTCCTCGCTTGCCACAATAAGCTCACACATTTAGCATACCCTGCAGCACTGTGTGTTTGTCGCGTGACATTCCAACTTGCGATTGCTTCATTCTCGTAGCTGGAACATGCCGCATTAAGTGACTAAGAATATTTAATAGGGTGTTTATTGGGTGCAGTCATTGGTGACCTGGGCTGTTAGCATCAACTCGCTGTACCCGAGAACCCGGTTTGACCACGTGTGTTCGATACCCGGACTCCAACCCAACCCAGTAGGGGGCTGGATCAATGCTCCAATACGCCCATCATGAACCTCCCCGAACCGATGGACCACTTCGGCTCCTCTGTCGGCCTGGGGGGCCGCACGAGCGAGAGCCACCACGTCGCGCGACACCAACTCCCCCGCTCCCCCACCCACGCCGAGTTTCATCGCTCCAATCGTTCCACCTCGGCCATAAAAAATATATATTACGCGGAGGGAGCAGAGGAACCATCGGCGGCAGCGGCCGTCGCCTGTGATGTGCCGTCGGAACGCTCGTGAACCGCGGCCGACTGTAAAACGCCGCCCCCCCCCCACCACCACCACTAAAATGTCAGCGGCGGGATTAGTTTTCAATGTTTGCGTTGCCGTCACCCAATGATCGGCTCGGCATATCGCGTTTCGTCATCTTGTCCCCCAGCCCGCCCGCCCGCCGCACCTCTCGATTGCATGGATGGCTACGTACGGTGCGGAATAGGTTCAACATACGTACATGTGTCTCGAGTGTAAAAAAATATATATTTTTTTAGAACCTTGGATAACGAGTTACCCGTGCAATTCATGCGAACACGACACGCCCCCCCCCCCCCCCCTTATTCGCACATGTAAATACGAACACATTATCGCGTGTGCATCCTTCGCAGGTTTACTTACGAACTGCAGACTGTGTTGAACGGAGCTCAAATTGAAGTGGCCGGGTGACTCAGGGGTCAGGGCACTTGAGCCGGTATTGCCGAGAACCCGGATTCGTCTCTAGGAGTCGGCCGCTGCCTTGTGATTAAACCGGGTCCCCTCCTCAAGTGTAGCGAGTTGATGCTTCTCAGCCCCTGGTACCAACGGCTTGACACAAACAACCCATCGTTATTAAATTTGATTTGTTACTTATTTTGGAAAAAATCCAGCTATTGGGCATTGCATTGACTTGATTGACATGGGAGAAACACTTTTTTCAGGTTATATAAAAATGTGTGCCCCTGGCGTATATGTGTAAATTCAGAGATATATGGAGACCTTTCTGAAGTGACTGCAAAAGTAAAGTCTGTGACGTCACCTTCCACGGTCATCCACTGACACGGAGCGATGCACTTCTAGCAGCAGAGCTACAAATGGGATCTTCTTCAGCTCGTTACTCAACAGTTACCAGTCGATGATACTTCAATCAAAAGGTATTTTTCACAAGTGGTCACAATTAATGAGGGTGTGCAACCCTTCCCATTTCGGAATAAAACAACCCTGACATTAGCGAAGCCGCCAGCCGTGCCAACACTGAGGGCGCCGTAAGTGATTAATGGGGCAAATATCCACCGCAAACGCACACCCTGCAATCAACGCAAATCCACGAGAAATATCATACATACGGATCGCTCAGCAACAAAAAAAAAAGTAAACATTTAATTTTCACGGCAATTACGGAAAAAATGTCTTTTCGTTGTCACACTCAATCACGGGGGGTGGGGGGAAACAATGCGTCAACAGCTTCACTGATAGAGCGACCCGACAACCTTTCGACGCGACATGGCTCCGACACTCCCGAGTAAGACAGGCAACGATAAATCGTTCCGGCAACTTCTTCAGGAACTGGAATCGCACGCTCACGTTCTCACTCGGTCGGTGCTACGGTCCCGACAACAAGCGGCAACAACCCGGACGCGCGCCGGACGGTGGGGTCTGGACAGCATGACCGCGAAAACCTGCGCCCTAAAAGTGAACAACGCAGCGCTCAATCCGGCAAAACGGTCAGCGGGCAAAATGCATCGTCGCGATTCGCCAAATCGCCAAACGGGCGGGTGAACAAGCGACGAAACTCAGTGTCCTTCACTCATTTTTAAAGGGGGGGGGGGGGGGGCGCTTTCGCCGATAAGACATCAGTGTCAGGGCCACCACCGCCCGCGTCACTTGACGTTCACGTAGGCGCTCAGCTCCCTCTCGACGCTCTGCACAAACTGGTGATTGAGGAAGAGCAGCTGTCCGAAGGGCAGCAGCGCGGCCAGCACCGCGTCCACGCGGTCCGCCTGCAGCAGCGCCTCGCAGCCCAGCGCCGCCGCCGGCGCCACGGGGGGCAGCAGGCGCTCAAGCAGGGCGCGGCGCACGTGGCGCAGCGTCGACTCGGCCAGCGTCATGTTGTCGTGCTCCTCGCACAGCAGCGTCAGGGCGAGCGCCGACGCGGCCCGCCGCTGGCGGCGCCGCCGCGGGGCCGGCGCCGCCACCGCCGCCGTCGCCGGGCAACGGCAGCCACAGCGCCGTGAGCTCCGAGTCGCAGGGGTCGCCCGCCGGCAAGCGCAGGGCGCCGACTTCGAGCGACGCCGACAACGCCGCCTCCTGCGCGGCGGTTGGCTCGACGCCCGGGAACGCCGCCGCCGCCGTCGACTGTGCCGAGGCGCTGGCGCTGCAGGGCTGGAACGCCGCCTGCACCTGCCTGGCGATGAAGGAAACGCGGAACGGGGGGCAGCCATGGATTACGTGGGTTGTGACGACCGGGAGGGGGTGTGCCGCGCTATTTTCAGGTTTTTTTTACACCACACTTCACCGTGCTGGTGAGTGCGGGTCGGTGACTGCAGCATATTTTGTCTCACCTCTCGCTCAATCGAAATTTGCAGTACGCCGTATTTAGAAATACGTATTCATAAATACGGCGTATTACACATCTTGTGGAGGTTATGAGATCGATTGGCAGCCGAAGGAGAGAACACACATTGGAGAAGATGACTGGTATGAAGACAGCAATGAGATCAGCTCATGTGCAGGAGGAGGGATTGTGGTATCTCGAAACCATGGATGGTGATATGGGAATGCCTTCATTCAGCAGTGGACTGATGTCTTATGGTGACACGCAAACTTCATTTTGATTTATGCGATGAGTGGTAAGGGCTAACAGGGCTCAGACCCCTGCCTCTGAAACCTATTCACCAGTGTTAGTATTCACCGGTACGGTAAAACCTCTCAAAGCCGGACTTGGCGAGAGAGCGCAAGGTCACCACGAGTAGAGGATGTGAACCTGTGGACTTGAGTGTGCCAGTCTGCCACGTGCTCTTGCTAGTGGTGGACTTGATTGTGCCCGTCTACCATGTGCTATGCTAGTGGCGTGATTGTGTCGTCTCGTTTTTGGACATACATTTTCAATCGTTGTTTTTATACATTTCATTAATTGCACAATAAGTAAAATTTTCTTAGAAAAATTTATTTTTATTTCTGCCTCCCAAAAAATATTTCCCCCCCCCCCGCCGCCTATTTCCAAGGGAGCGAGTGAGAAGCAAAAGATGTCATCGCAATCGCTGGCATCGGTTACGTTTCCACACCCTCTTAAACACAACGCCGTCGCACAAAAGCGCGGTACCGATACTGCTATAGTTTTCAGATTCAACGTTTGTGGCTGCCAAACAGATCAGGCTAGAATTACCAGTGCTTTGCAATTTAATAATTCATCAGGCGATTTGTCTCGTTTTTTTTAGCAGCCTCATCCGTGTACCAAGTAGAATAATTTATAGGTAATGTCAGCAATCACAAACAGTAGCTCAATCCTTTGTTAATAAAATATGACAACGCAATTCAACTTGTAAATCTATCCCCTGTTGCCACAGAGCACAACACGGACTCGCTTCAAATATCAACCACTGAGATCAACGTTTGTAGTTGGAGATGGGGCCATAGACCGGCTCATTTAGCCCCGGGCATAAACAATGCACCTCACGAATCTCACAAGTGCTCTATTATATTCAGGCAATAACCACTGAACCATCACAATCCTAAAGTTTCCCTACTCTCTGACTGAGCCTCGGGTATTTACAATGCACCGTAAAAACAAAATCCCACAGGTGCCTAAGTCAAGTTTTGACTAGGCATATTTACATGTTAGCAGTTGCGATATCCAATGGGATTTCGAGGCCAGGTTGTCCACTTACCTTCGAAGTTTAAAACGAGAGGAAAGGTGGACAAGTCAGGGAGCGGGAGACGGGAGCGGGCAGCTCAGGTGAGATGGACCCAGAATCGAGGAGAGGTTGTCACCCCCAACCATCATGCTGCGTGGATGTTTTATGATTTATGGAGTGTTCCCCCCCCCTCGCGGCACCACACCGGGCCTCCCCTTAGAACGCTGGTTACCTCTTCACCACCTCCTCTTCCCTCCCCATATTTATAAAAGCCCTCACTGCCCACCCACCCCCCCCCCCGACGGAGAATCACCACCGGTTGGGGCATGGAGCCTTCCACTCCCTGCCTAAGTATGGTTCCGAAGCGCCAACAGCCCCCCCACGCCCCCCCCAGAAACCATCGGCACCTTGTACGGGGCTCGAGGGCTTACCACAATAAATAAAACATACATAATACATAAAAGTGGTGAGTTATCTATCGCTCGCCAATGATGTTAGCCATTGTTGGGAATCAACCTCGGGCAAGTGGGGTTCACACCGCTGCACCGCCACTCCAGTGATAACGAAAAGGAAGGGGGCAGGAGAGCGAAAACTTTGTTATCCGCGTCGTGTGTATCTGTGTGTGTGTGTACGGTTCACGGTTCGTTCATTCATCCTTGGTCGTGGCACCGTCACCGGCGTGACAAACTGCCCCGGCCGGTGCTCGAGTCAAGATGCCATCTCGAACAGCTTGAGTGAGCGTTTACACTCGGTGTACTTCGCGGAGCTAGATGTCATTTTCTTGGTTCTTTCGGTAAAAAGTCACGTAGAATGGAAATAAAATAATAATAATAAAACATAATAAAATTATTCTCACGACGTTTCGGCCACAACGCAAGCAGCCGTCCTCAGGTGAAGAACAGGTCTGTCGGGAAGACAGCGTCTGGTCTGTCGGGAAGACAGCGTCCGTCTTCTCGACAGACCTGTTCTTCACCTGAGGACGGCTGCTTGCGTTGTGGCCGAAACGTCGTGAGAATTGTATTTTATTATGTTTTATTTTTATTATTTTATTATTTCCCTTCTACGTGACTTTACCGAAAGAACCAAGAAGATGAATCACTGCAGTCACGAAAGCTTTAAATCGAAATAGATGTCATTTGTCGCCATCCACTGCTGCGTGATGAAGTCCTTGCCAAGACCATCGGCCCACCGCACGGTCTCGCATTGACCGGCGTGGTGAAGTATGGTCAAACAACCCCGATGACCGACACGGCGTGGGAAGGCCTTCGTGCAGCGTGTGGATGAACACAAAGGGCCTGTGCATCGGTGTGACAATGTGGCCAGGCCGAGACGGCTGCGATGACCAACAGCACAACGCAGCACGGACAGCGTGGAGGTCACGATCACGGGCCCCACAGATGCGCGAAAAGACAAATATCGGGAACTTTCGTTTCTAACCCCATCCACGAAACCCTTTTCTCCTATCCATAACTCCCACCCATAAACCCTATACATCGAACTCTGACAAGTAATTGCTCACTGTTGGCCGAACGGCTTCCACTAGGATTCATATTCTTAGGTTTTTTCGGTAAAGTCACGTAGGTACCGCTACGTGACTTTACCGAAAAAACCTAAGAATATGAATCCTTGCAGTCACGAAAGCTTCAAATCTAGAATTCCACTAGGATATTTGGCCTCCTCTTCCACGCCAGCCACCGTCGACTGACTACCGACGGAGCACCAATTTATGCCGATGGGTTAACAGAGGCAGAGGCGTGGAGGCGGCGGGCGGGGTCCGCCTGATGAAGCTAGTTGTGATTGCTGGCGAAACGTCGTACTCAGGATTGTAAATGTGGATTTGCTCTCCAACACACAAGCGGTGCGCTGTACGAGTAACGAATTGGCCACGTTCCGTTTACGTGACAAACCTTACCAATTGGCTGCATCGGCTGGTGGCGGGTTTAACGACACATTTATATTTACGCGATCTAACCCAAAACAATCCCTGTATTATGGATGATAATGTTCGCGAAAGCCTCCTCCGTGTTAACCAGAGGGCCACCCTCTCAGGAAGTCCAGTGCGCTCCCCCCCCCCACCGCCCACCACCATCTCACACCACGACAGCAGCGAATCTCCCGCCTAGCCCGGAGTGGCCGAGGTAACTTCCCGATAATAATGAGAAAGGGAGAGAGAAAGGCCTTCTTTATACCTCGCCACCGCCGCCATCCGTTCCTTGCGGAGAAGACGCAGCCGCTCGCCCTCGCAGCCGTCGTCCTGGAGCTTCTCAGCGGCGAACACCTGCGAGTAGAGGACGCGGCAGGGGCCCGCGGAGCTCACGGTGTGAATGAGGACGGCGTAAACCATGGCGATGTGGTGATGGCGATGTGGTGGTGGCGATGTGGTGGTGGTGATGGCGATGATGATGATGGTGGTGATGGCGAGACGCGCGCGAACACAACACGCGCACGTGCTTGGCGTACTTCCGGGGTCATCAATTCCGGAATCGATGTCGTGCGTGGTCGAATTAGCGATTCGATTCATTACCCTTTGGGGTGATATCTATGGGACCTTTTTGCCAGGACGGTATCAAAAATGATGGGGGGGGGGCGGTGATATGAGTGGATTTAAGTGCGCATCTTCAGTGGCTTCCTAATATCGGAAAGAAGAGCGTCCCAGATGCCTTGCAAACATGTATCTATTTGGTGTTTGAACATCTTAACGCGAGTTTTATTGACACACGGTAAAACCTATTCTTAATTTTTCAACCTTAGGGTTGATTTTTTTCACGGGGTCAGACTAAAAGTAATGAAACACTTATAGTCCATACATTTGCAGAATGCCGTATTCCCTGGTTAGTCTGTGGGCATTCCATTTTCCCCATTGGAGCCTACAGGTACCCCCATGTTCACCTATGGGCTGTCGTTTCTTTCTCCATGTACTCTGTATTGAACTTCTTACGGGCTCTCCGTCGCCAACCGTGCTGATCGGGGGTGCGGGGGAAGGATAACTAAACAAAACGCAACAAGCAGTGCTGAAGAACGTAGTTTTCAGTCTAGAGGATTTAAAAGTGCATAACTCCAGTGACTTCCTGTCGGAAGAGCGTTCCAGACGGCCGCAGAAGCGCATCTGAAAGCACGTGATGCAGTGACCGTGTTTGTTCGATGAAGAGCTAAAGGCCGCTGCGAGGATGACCGGTCCTTGACGAGACCAGCAATGTACTTTGGTTCATTTGTGGCAAGCACTGTGTGTATTGAGTGCGACCTTCTATATTCGTTCAAAAACCAGAAATCAATGCAGTTCAGCGAGCACTGGACGGACATGGTCGGATCTCAGTCGTCAGAGGGTTCTTAAATGGAATTGTTAAATCGTGATAACTTGCAATGCCAATTTGCAATTAAATCTCGTGTTCGATTGTCCACATCCAATGTCGGGTATTGCTTCGCACGGACTTCCCAAAGCGCTTCTCGTGCCGGACAAGAACGTCCACTTGGAACAAAAATATTAAACTGCTGTATCGGTCATTAGCAGGCATATCCCAGTTTGCATCCTATACTTCGGTGCAAGGTCTGTGCATCATGCTCAAGTGTGATATGGAATATTTTGTGCAAACCTCTAGTGTATTATACTCAGATCGAGGAATGACTGCAGAGAAAAATATGCATTGTACCTCTATGCCCCTGCATCTTTCCCCACCTTCAACACGCAGACGAGGGTCGTGGTGAGGCATTAACACCATTATCTACATAGTGTGAAGCCCCTGATCATCAGTGTATTGACAAAAGGGTTGTAAACGCCAATTTTATTTTGATTTGATAGGCGCACAGATTTGCACAATAAAATACTGATACACAATTTTCACCCTGCACAACTTTTATTACAAGAGACGATGTGGTGCTCATAACACGATGCATCACCTTTATTTTGTAATCACATTGAAACGTACAAGTGCGTTGGGATACAGTATTGCCTCAATAATAGGCAGTAATGTAGCAGACACCAACAATACACTTAAAAAAATTATCTAACTCTGTACAGAGCACAGACCTACTACCAGTAAATACAAGGCCATTTAATACCCTTCTCCCTCCACTCACTTCCACATCGCCAACAGTGCCCCAATCACAAGCGCAAGCTGTAGATAAGTCCAATGATTTGCAGATATATACTATACAGCAGCCAGCATCAGTGTGTAAGCGCCTTCAAAAACTAGCGTCCTCCCTGCGCCTTCCCCCCTTGCTTTAGCCACAAAACATGCGTCGGTAAAAAAAGCCAGCAAAATAAATTATATTTCTCTTTTTTCTTCTCTGAAACGGGCCATAGAAATGACTGTGCAATCACAAATGCTGTCAATTTAAAATGAAAATAAACAGCGGAATAAGTTGCCTGCCGTGTACTTTTTTTATCATTAGTGCTGTAGTTACGCAAGCGGCTTGCGTTTCCACAACACTGTTAAGTGACCATCTGTCCCCATCTGCTCACCAACTCTCACGTAATGAATGAATCTCAAGTGGAATTATATTTTCGTAACGCTACACAACGGTGTGTGGGGGGGGGGGGTTCCGGTGTCCATAGTCAAACGCCAATATTGTAATCCGTGCGTTTGACTGGCGTTACTGCTTGTCTTCTTTCTTCTCCTCTTGGCTGCCACCGCTGCTGCCGCTGCTGCCGCCGCTGCTGCTGCCCGCTGCTGCCACCGCTGCTGCCGCCGCTGCCACTTCCTCCAGCTTCCCTCTCTGATGCCATCTGTAGCGCAAGGATTTAAACATGGTTAGTGGCCGAGCAATGGGTCAACTCTAGCGGCAATTTGATAAATTGTCAAACACCATCCAGGATAGATTTGATGAATAGATTTGTCTAATTTTTACCATCTAATTTGTCCCACTTCTTGTTCTGTATCATTTGTACAGTATTATTCTAAATGTAACATTTGCATGATGAAATTTAAATTTTTCATAAGTCGTCGATAGCTATTCTCACGCGCATAATTAGTTGCATGTACCGTGAGCATAACAAATCAGTTTCACAGCGATTGATGAATGCATCTGTTACCCAAGAAATGCATTCAAAAAGCAGCGATTGCAATATTCAACACACGGAATGTCACCACTCAAAGCGGACGAGAGGTGTGTGCGAAGCGACTTGCCTTCTTGTAGGCCATCTCGAACAGCTTGAGCGAGGACTGCTGCAGGGTGGAGGCCGCCTGCTTGATGGCCTCGCCCGTCTCGGTGTCCTTCCGCGTAAGCAGCTCCCGCACCTTTGCGATCTCCTCCTTCAGCTTGGTGCACTGGATCACGCAGAGACGTGTGGGAGACGACAGGTGTGTTAGCAAGACATACGCCATCATTTGGGAATATGGTTCTCAGTGGGGGGAGGGCAAATGCAGCTACGTCCTCCGATAATCAGGGTTGGCTACGTACGGTGAGAAAAAAGTTCAACATACGTGTTCCCCTGCAAGTTCCAGCAATGTAAGCCATGTCCAGGGAAACAAACGCTGCAGCTACCTGGCCATTTCGTTATGATCGCGGTGAACCCGTGACGACTAGTTACACATTTTTCTTGTGCATTTGCTTGTGTTGCAGTCGAAACGTCGTGAGATTTTTTATATTTTTATAATTTTATTATTTCCCTTCTACGTGACTTTACCGAAAGAACGAAGAATATAGTTACACATGTTAAACCATATTACCCAGGCCTTAGGCTCCAAAGATGTGGGGCCATCACTCCCCCGTTATTATTTTTCTTGTGTATCTGGTGCTTTGTGTGAAATTCACATGAAAAGAGTATTCACTAAACAAATAAGTGTCCAAAAAATAACTTTAGATAGAACTTTCCATGCTTTGACAAAAACCAAATCGCCCAGAATGTGGCAAATCTCTAAGGTTAAGCAGAACCAAGGCTGTACGGGTTAACCATGGTATATATTTACCGAGGTATGTTTTACAGGGATATGTTTTTGACAGCAAAGGGTTCCGAGAAAAAATGTAGATGGTGGTTGGTGCGGGGGAGACATGTCAAAGATCAGCTCAGATACACGCCACTGATGTTAGGCGTGGTCGAGAATCCAACGGACATGGCCAAATTCACAATACAGGGCACACCTCGCAACGTGCCACTACTCCACCCCACTTTACATATTGCTGAATGCACATTGCATTACTCGAAAATGTACTCTGTAGCAGGTTCAAAGTACAGGCCACCAAGGAGTGAACTCAGTTTCCTTTGTCAATGACTGCACGTGAGTATTCCCAAAAGTGACTGTCACCGCACAACTGAGCGTGCTGCAGTGACCATACGATTTTGGGATTTGCGTCCAATCTAAAGAGTGATTCAATTATTACGGTGAAAACTTAGGCAATTCAAAGCAATTAAGAAATGATACACAATACAGTATTGTGAAGAATACCTCATCAGCTGGAAGCTGATCTTTAAACTCCTCCATCTTGCTCTCGATGTCATGGACGATGCCTTCCGCCTGGTTCACGGCCTCCACACGATCCTGCAAGGACACGACGACCACACGCGCCATCACCAAGGGCAGCAGTGACATCATCGAGCACGCCACACTTGAACGAGCATCAACGGACAGGGGCACTCGCACATTTTTACGCAAGACCATCGTGATTTTTCAAGGCTGTATTGTTGTAATATAAAATCATACCCCAGTTCGCGTCAGGGATTGCCTTCCTGAAATATGCGATGACGAATATCGAAACGTCAAAGCATTTTACAGGGTAGACGACAGATACAAGAAAGGACAGATGCTGTCAGCGATGGGTGGGATTGAGGGACACAAATCGGACAGCAGAATTAATAAAGTGACGTACTTGCGAAACGATGGAAAAGGGGAAAACATAAATCTGGCTATGACTGTACATTCAAACATGATTCTAGCGTTGGGGTTTCAGGAAAACCTAAAAGTAAAAAAAACTTATTTACAAATTAGTACTCTTGGTAAGAAAACTATTTGCCTCCTCCAAAATGTTTTGGGCTGGGTGCACCACAGGCACAGGGGAACAAGACTCAGTCGAGATTAACGCTCACCATACAATTCAAAGTCTGTTGACGAAAAATATTAAACATCATTGTCGAGTTCCCAGAGCTTGAGGAGTTACGAGGTCTCGGTAAAACACTGGGCGAAATTAATTAACGCAAAAATAATCCGAATCCTTTACGCACCTTTCTCCTCCGGTCCTCTTCCGCGTACTTCTCTGCGTTCTTGACCATGTTCTCAATCTCATCCTTGCTGAGGCCACCAGATGACTGGATGACAACTGCAGGCACAACCACACATGGCAACAGTAAGGGGATTGCTATCATGAAATATTTAGCTGCTATAACTGGAAAGTGTCACATCTGTCGTTTATTTTGCTATTCTCAACGCCCATCTAAAAAGTTTCGAAATTTCTAAAACACCATAAGTTTAGCACAGTGAAAAAATATTCAGTCGTGTTATTTTTAGCTGTAGGTCAAATGTCATGGATTCTACTTAGTACATCATCACTACGATAGATCGGTTTCTTTACAGTCAAAATTAACCCACTCGACAGTTGACAAAAATGAGTGTTGTGACCGACAGACACCTCAGACTGACAAATGACCCTTCTCAGCGTAGAAGATGGCCTGTGTAAAGGTCTGCGCGTACGACCCAGTCTCCACCAACCGCCCATCACCCCACACTGTCATGGCCTCCCCCGTCTCACCGCCCCCCACGCACTGTTTAGACGGTAAACTCACTCTGCTGCTCGCGTCCCGTGCCCTTGTCCTTGGCGGATACGTGCACGATGCCGTTGGCGTCGATGTCGAAGGTCACTTCGATCTGGGGTACCCCGCGCGGGGCTGGTGGGACGCCCACCTAAGCCATCGGAAGCAAAACAAGACACGACCCATTTACTTTCCCGGTGCTATTGGGAGTCAAGTCCATTGCGTGCCCTTATATTTAAAAATAGACGATGCTATAGAAAGGCTTACTTCTCCATTGCCAAGGCAAGCGCAGCCAGAAGGAAGGAAAATAGCTGTATCAGTTACCAATGACATTTTATTATTCTGTGTCATCTGCTTAGTCAGAGGTATAATGTTCCTCCACAGAGACCTTGTAAACAAGATGCCAGCACTTCAGCAGTTGTATCTAGGGGTACTTATATGCAGTTAGCTGTGCTGGCTGCACGCCCTTGTGTCATAAACCACCCTAATGAGCAGCACACCAAATTGTATTTACCCATACTAAACAAGCCTTCAGTTTAACCATTTTATACAGAGTCCAGGAGCCAATGTACATAGGATACCTGAGATTTGCCACTCACTACTCCAAATTCAATCAGGAACGATCTCGCATTAAGAGGCATATCTTCTAGAGAAACTCAAAATGCAACCGGTTCCAAGTTATTCCAACAGAATACAATTTGTAAGAAACAAAAGCGAGAGGGGAAATCCAATCGACTTCATTTACTACATTAATATTTTTCACATTTATCTTCATTGAGTTTTTTGGGTCATCGTGTCTGTACCAGAGTGAATTGTCCCAGATTCTTGTTGTCACCGGCCATCTCGCGTTCACCCTGGAACACTTTGATCTCCACCTGGGTCTGTCCGTCGGCGGCAGTAGAGAACACCTGCAACAAAAAGGGTACGTTCCACATGAAGCTGTCACATCGACAATGCACCTCGGCAAAGATGATGCCTCTTGAGAGATCTTTTTTTTTAAGTTATGCCATAGTTTGTGCTCAGAATAACCCTGTTGGTTTTCCACATTTTTTTTCGGAATGCTGTATCGTTTAAATCATCACTGCACAAACGGCATTGCAAGCTTTGGTATATTCCTTTGCGGGGCAGACGTATTTCCGTAATTTTAGATATTTTAACATTAACCGTCTTCCGTATAGAGAAAAACGCCCCTTTAGCCACACCACTGAGGGAGACACAAAACAGTGGATTTTAATAAATGCGTTAATCTCCAAATATAACTTCTATAATATCTGCACAACAATCTCCGGTCTAATGCTAACAGGATGAGATTTACCACCGCTTTATGAAGACATCATTATCTGTGAAGATAGTGGATAGCAGGCGTTTCTATCTATTGATATTGGGGGTTTGAACAGCAAGTGCTTAAACACACATCACGATGCAAGCACGACAACTCGAAGTTTAAGTGCCATTTCTTTTGCAAACATTCACACCTGTGACTTCTTGGTGGGGATGGTCGTGTTGCGGTTGATGAGCTTGGTGAAGACGCCACCCAGGGTCTCGATGCCCAGCGAGAGGGGAGTTACGTCGAGCAGCAGCACGTCCGTGACATCGCCCGCCAAGACGCCGCCCTGGATAGCGGCGCCGATCGCCACCGCCTCGTCTGGGTTCACCGCCTTGCTGGGCGCGCGACCAAACACCTCCTGCACCGTCTGCTGGACCTGCAGCGGGGAGAATGAACGGCAAGCGAAAGGGTGGGGGGGGGGGGAGGGTGGACGTGGTGGGCAGATGCGTACGACAAACCAGCGGTTAGTGTCATCTACGTTCGCAGTCACTACACAACAATCGTCATAACGTTGCCTACTTTGCGTTGTCGTAGCGGGAATTAAACCAAGTACTTAGGGGGCTGTGTTGTGGGAAGCAAAAGGAAATGCAGGAAAAGTCTATTGTTGTACTGCTGAAATATAAACATCAAGGTAATCAAGATTTTCCCTATCATGCTTAGTGGTGTCCAATATATTTAGTTTTCGTCCGTCTATTAAGGCATATGCTCTGGCCGTTTCACCAATCCCCTGTAGTACTTTAATTGATTCTTAATGCTGTCCATGGGATACGCAAGTCTTCTCTTCAGTACTACAGTTCAAAAGCTGAGATCTTTCTTCTACGTTCTGCATTGATGACCAAGGTTTCACACACACACACATTGCAATGGGGGAAAAAAACTTTCAACTATGGTCTCACTTGTGGTTATTAATGCAAGACCCTGCAGCGGACCATACCTTGGGCATGCGGGTCATGCCACCAACAAGGATGACATCGCCGATGTCAGACTTGGCCACCTCGCCGTCCTGCAGGGCCTTCTGGCAGGGAGCGATGGTCTTGCGGATCAGATCGCCCACAATGTTCTCAAACTGCGACCGCGTCAGCTTCATGTTGAGATGCTTGGGGCCCGATGAGTCCATCGTCAGGTACGGCAGGTTGATGTCAGTCTGCGAAAGGTAGGCGGCACAAGTTTCATAAATGCAGCCGGGGATAAAAAACCTAGGCAAGTAGATGTATAAGATGCCAGTTTATTGGGTCTAACATTCATATCAATAATTACAAAGTGCTGAAAATTAGCTTATTTTGATAAAAACTTATACGAATTTGACAACACTGGATGACGGCCTCCATGCAACATAGGTGGCCGGGTTCATAGCTCACTGCGCTAACGAAAGCACCACCTCACTTCCACCCCGTTTTATATATTGTCCTGAATAGTGGTTTACTTTTGAGGGATAAAAATATATTCTGTAGCAAGTTCAAAGCACAGGCCACCGAATAGTGAACTCAGTTTCCTTTCTAGATTTGAAGCTGCAAGTGAATATTTCCAAAACTGAATGTCACCGCACAACGGAGCATGCAGCAGTGACCGTACGATTCTGGGCTTGTTGCATCCAATGTGTGAAGAGTTATTTAATTATGTGGGTGAAAACTTTGGTAAATATTCCAAAACAATTAATTAAGAAATGATTGAATTTAAGATCTCAAAATATAGCTTGTGGATGTAATCGACAAACATGCTGAACAAACCACTACATAAAAAAAATTTGAATTTCAAATGCTTTGCCATCAACTTTACTGAATTATATTTCCACTCCAAAAAAACCTGAATGAAACATTTAATATTGAACGATATCCCAGAACCATCGCTGAGAAAGCAGTCGATGAAAATAACTCTGTGATACTGGTAAAAACCACGTGGTTCCACCAGCCCGTCGTGCATCCAAAAATGGGAGGGGTGGGGCTGGGTGGGGAGGGGCTGGGTGGGGAGGGTGGGGGTGGGAGGGGTGGGGCTGGGTGGGGAGGGGCTGGTCACCCCGTGGTGCCCTTATAAAACTCAACGTTTAACCTACTCACGCCGGCTTGTGCCCGCCCTCACAGTCGGGCATATTTGCGGAACACACCACGCCGCCGTTGAACCTGGCCATTGACCGAGCAACCCAACGTTCCTACCAGCTCCCTCCGCAGGAATGTGTTCTACTGCTGCTATACATTAGGTGGTGTGATGTTTCCACCCAGTGTGCAGTACCTGCAGAGAGGAGGAGAGCTCACACTTGGCCTTCTCGGCTGCCTCCCGCACACGTTGCAGGGCCATGCTGTCTTTGGTGAGGTCCACACCAGACTGCACCGCGCACACACACACAATTCAAGACAAACAAGAAATTAAATTAATAAAATCACCGAAAGAAAATGCAGCTGCATCCCAAGACACTTGAATGAATCCTCAAGCAGAGCAGTTATCAGAATCGGGGACCCTCAAAGTATATCCCCGTACCAGGTGAGCCACATTTGAGAAAAGTCTTCATGCGTTGTGAGAGAGGAAGTTAATTCCAGATGGCAGGAGCTGACAGAAAAGCAACATTTGTCCGGTCTGGTTCGAGAGACGGACTTGACAAGGGGGCCACACCTGCCGCAGATCGGAGGTTGTGAGATGGAACGTGACCACTAGTCACAAGCCTACTCTACCAGTGACCCAAACAATATTCAGTGAGACATGAAGCAGTGACTCATAGGAACGCGTAATGAGGTGTTGATGAGGGGGGGGGGAACTCACCTCGCGTTTGAACTCCTTAACAATGTACTTGAGCAGGGCGTTGTCGAAGTCCTCACCACCCAGGAAGGTGTCTCCATTGGTCGACTTCACCTCAAACACCCCCTTCTGGATCTCCAGGATGGAGATGTCGAAGGTGCCTCCTCCCAAGTCGTACACGGCAATGCTGGAGCAGCAGAAGCGTGCAGGAGGAACTCATTAACATGACCGTGCAGGTGTTTAATCTGCCAAACGTGTGATGGCTTTGTGATTTAGTTACTTTTTTATATTTTCCATTTTACTTTTTTTCCTTGAGAGACAGGTTGCCATGTACAACATCTGAATCTTTTATATGCTATATAAATTAAAATTTCATTATATATTACAATAGAGCTGAGGATGTTTCCATATATGAAATATTAAAAATTTTCCATTTACAATCATATACGACTTTTACGTAAAACAGTACGCTATGAGACCAATAGTCCGTATTAATAGAAACCTGGTTAGAAGTTTGATTCCTACTGCTAGATTTTGCAGTTGTTCTTGTGCGTTTACACATTTAAATTAGTTTGTTATTTTGCCAGTTATATAAATGCAAGTCTCCCTTGAAGCAGAGACTTCTGGTCTCATAAGGTTATCTGTCAATCTAGAATGAGCAAACAAGTCAAGTGAGATTCCATCTCATTTCCAAGTGGCGATGTAGATTTCACAGTGACTTTGCACATATTATGGATTATAGTCATGGTTACAGAGCGTGCCAGATGCCACTTTAAGCCATCTCTGTACAACCAAGTTGTTTATAGTGTAAATGGCCTTACAACTCCACAATCCTCTGTGGCTAAACACAACCTTGCACCACACCGAGTCCTGGACAATCCCTCCTTGCCTGCGCTCAGCATTAACTGTAAATATTCCACAAAAATTGTGTTTATTTGGAATGCTGTGTCAATATATCATCATTGCACAGGCAAGGGAAAGACGTCGTTCAAAAATCGACGCGACTGTGCCTAGTTGGGAAGCGAAGAGGCCAGTGGCGTCGTCATTTTCTTACACTTTGTCATCCGCCTTGTCCAAACCGTAGGCGAGGGCAGCTGCAGTTGGCTCATTGATCACCCTCAGAACGTTCAGACCAGAGATTTGTCCAGCATCTTTTGTTGCCTGACAGACCATAACACACACCACAACACACATACAACTTTTGAGCACATGGAAAGATTTGATAACTCTCAATTATCTATGGGGGAAGTAACTGCGGTTAATTTTTTTTTACTGACAAAAGCCTACAGGCACGCTGGTTTATTCGCTGCTCTTTACTCGTTGAGGGTCAGTGACTCAATGCCCACATGACTGAAAATATGGCTGCAAGTAAATTGATTTCAGAAATAACAAAAACAATTGACAAATTCTAGGTAAACAATACATGTGGTTTATAGCTTAATTCGCACATGTTTCACATTAACCATGTTCTTGTTTTATCTGAAGAACCTCCCCACGCCACCTTCCATTACCCTGGACAATCAGGTATTGATTGTACTGTGAATTGTAGGTGCTGATAACCAAAATAACATAATAACACTTCATCGCTCACCTGCCTCTGCGAGTCATTGAAGTATGCTGGCACTGTTATCACTGCATTCTTCACGGACGTTCCCATGAAGTTTTCTGCATTGAAAAAACAAACCACAGATGGTCACATGAGCCTCAGAGAATTTGAAAGTCATGCATCTGCTATGAATTTAAGGCTAACGACATAAAACATAACTATGCCAACACACTGCATAATCAATGAACCACTGCAGCATGCACGTGTTATCGTGTAAAATGTGCACTACTAACCAGCGGTCTCTTTCATCTTCAAGAGCACAAAGGCCCCGATTTGACTGGGAGAGTACACCTTCCCGTGGGCCTCCACCCAAGCATCCCCATTGGACGCCCGTACTATCTTGTACGATAAGTTACTCCTGCAGAGCACAACCAAATAGATAACTTTCAACCTCGCACAAGGAACTAGCACTTTATTAGTTACTGCCTCTAATAAGAGACGTGTAAATAATGGTTGTGAAATTTTTTGACAATAAACCTTCAAAATCGACCCATTGCCAAAAATGCTAATTCTGTGATAAAAGCAATATTCATGATAAACGTGTCAAGTTATTTAATTTATGCCACTCTGTAAGTGCAGTGCCTCTGTGCTATGGGCAATCTTTATCTATGTGCAGTGCCTATCTTTAACTAGTTGTTCATCTAATAATCAAAAAACAAAATATCTACTGGACTAACCATTAAAGTTTCTATGCAAAGTGAAACACCTGGATGATTCTAAATTTTCCAGATAAGCAGCAAGGTGCAAACTGGCAGAAGTGTCAAAGCAAGAATGTTTCAAAGGAGAAAGAGAGGGTGTTAACCAAGAGATTACTGTGCCACCGTCACCACTCACATGTCTTTCTGCACATCGGAGTCATCGAAGCGGCGTCCGATGAGACGCTTGGTGGCATAGAAGGTGTTGTTTGGGTTGGTGACGGCCTGCCGCTTGGCGGGCATACCCACCAGTCGTTCGCCATCCGCGGTGAAGGCCACCACAGATGGTGTCGTCCGGGCGCCTTCCGCATTCTCCAGCACCTGACCCCACCAAAGCAAAGCGCTCCGTTAATTATTATTCAATAGGTTTGAGGACATCTCTAAAGAAGAATATGGCCAAAACTTTTAAGATGGTGTTGCCAAATTTCTGCAGAAGGGGAAATGTTTCTGTTTAATCCCAAGAGAGTGATTTGCAAGTACTCTTTCAACTTAGGATGTTTGGCCAATACCAATTACACTGTATATTTGTTTCAGCTGTGAGAGGAAACCAGAGAACCTGGAGACCCATGCACACCAGGGGGAGAACAAACTCCACACAAATAGGTGCCTGACTCAGGATGAAATCCAGGCCCTTTTTGCTTATGAGGCACAAGTATTACCACTGTACCACTGAATATTTTTATATTTTCTGTTGCAGTCTTAAAGTACAGGCCACTGAGGGGAGAAGCTCAGCTTTCCGTGCCAAAGTCTGCAGGTTTATATTCCCAAAATAAGTCACAACAGGATGGGGAGCACTGCTGTGATTGTACATTTGGGTTAAAAGTTGGGGAATCTGACCAGTCTATGATGTTGAACTGCACTGGAGTCAGAAAATACTACCGAGAAGGTAAACTTAACAATCATCTTCTTCTGACATTAATCATTTTATGAAATGTGGCATTGAGATTGAAAGATGGGGACATGGGGTTAGATGGGAACAAGGTCACCTGAGTCAATAACTTAAATGTGGGCAGAAAACTTGCATTATTGGTGCAGATATTTTTGTTGTAAAAAATACAATTCCACACAAAATAATCGAATTTGAAGTACATGTTCTCGTGTTTTTCATGTTAGAACCGTAAACTATGCTTTAAGAATTATCAGTGACGTTTTTCACATACTTTGTAACAAAAAGTCTGAATTATTTTCACGGACAATGAACTTCAAGTGGGTTTGTCCAGTGCAGTGAAGTTCGTACGCCCCACCTTGGCTTGCTTGCCCTCCATCACCGCCACGCAGGAGTTGGTGGTGCCCAGGTCGATGCCGATCACCGCTCCGCGGATTGCCTCCGACCTGCAAAATCCATTGCTAGTTAACAAAGCATGTTCCTGTCGACATGGAAAGCAAGGCACTCAGTGTTGATCAAACCGGATATTGTGTTTTATGTCGCAGTCTTAAAGTACAGGCCACCGAGGGGAGAAGCTCAGCTTTCCGTGCCAAAGTCTGCAGATTGATATTCCCAAGTTAAAGTCACAGCAGGATGGGGCGCGCTGATGTGACTGTACATTTGGGAGAAAAGTTGGTGAATATGACCAGTCTATGATGTTGAACTGCACTGTCGCCTAAAAATACTTCAACCGTCTTTCTCTGGTTCTGTTACATGAACCATGGTACGGAATGTGCCACTGAAATATAGGGGGGGGGGGGGGTAAATATGGGGGCATGGCACATTAGGTTGAATTAAGGCCACTTGAGCCATGGACAAAAAACGCACGTTTTAAGTCAATTTTATTAAAGTCTATTTAAATCGTGAAAATTATACTGAAATTAAGAAACTTTTTGGTGAGTTTAAAGTATTAATGTTTTTCGTGTACAAACGAAAAACTAATTTTAATTATTTCTCAGTGATGAGTGACGTTTTTAATTCAGTTCATAAGGCTCATTATATAAATCCAAAAAAGTTTAAAATATACCCTTCACGTAATACTTACGCATACTGCCTGCGTGATAATCCTTTTAGAACATCTTGGTGCATAGAACTCCATTGCCCCTAGAAAGTAACACACAAAAAATAGATCACGTCAGGAATTTTAAATGCATCACTAAGCACTCCCAAATGAAATAAATACAACTAAAATATGCTACGTCACAGTGAATGAACGACTCAAGGCCGCTGCTACACGCAGAAAGACGAGTCAGCCCCCCATTGCAGGCCTCTTACATCAGCCCCATTGTGTAATTGCGTCTTTTAGGTCTTGGCGCAGCTTATGCAACAAGGCATCAACGCCGCTCGGACGTGCGATGCACCTCGGGAGGGCTTCACCCCGTCTTTCTAGAAAGGCCCATGGGCTCGCTGACCCCCGCGAGGCCGACCTCGCCGTAAATGTGGCACACAATGGCCCAAGGTCACAGGCGAGTCCGGTCCGCACTCCCTTCCCCCGACCACGTGTGGCGGTGCGAGTTCCACGGACCTGAGGCCGCACACTAAATATATTTGACAAGAGTTTAAAGTGCAAAGGTTAAACCCCTCGCGTGGTCCTTTGCTCGCCCTCGCCACCACGTGGATCGCACGCACCCGCACAGCGAACTATCGCATTTCTCTTTAAAGCTTTCAAAAGTCGGTCTCAACAAATCTTGCAGCTCGGCGCTGCGTGGAAACGCTGCTAGGCACGCACCAACTCAAGTTATAAACCTGCCAAAAAGACTTTAAGGCGACCGATACAACACCACTGACCGCGCCAACCATGCTGTCGCTAGGCCTCAAAAAAGCCTGCCCGCCGGCTAGGCGATCACTAGGCCTCACGCAACGCAGTTACGAGTTACAACGCGAATTAAAGGCACCACGACGCGTGTTAGCATGAAAGCGTGCCTTCAGAAGACGTACGCGCTACCACCGAGACGGAACGCGAGATCATTTACGCACTTTGGCGAGGAAACCGGCGAGCCCACGGGACGCTTGCATGGCGGACGCTGCTGCTTGCGACTGGCGACGAGAGACGAAAGGGCGGGGGGGTTGTGGGGGCTCGTCACGTGATACCCGAGGGGAGGGAGAGCGGGGGAAAGAGTCACGTGGTGCTAGGAGACGGGGGAGGGGAGTGAAACGGGGGGGGGGGGGGGGGAGTCGAATTGCCTGAGAGCGTCACGTGATCGAGCAGGATAATGCAATGTGCCTGCAACAATTTATCATGCCACTTTTAATAAAGATTGGTTTATTTGAATATTTATATCAATTAAAAAATACCACTTATACATTTTAAAACTGCTTATTTTATCTATGGGACCCTTGTTGCCTTGCATTGGTATCGATTAGTGTTTGAACATCTTAACACCTGTATTATTACTCTTTGGTTCTTTCGGTAAAGTCACGTAGGTAAAACAATAAATAAAATAAAATAAATTAAAACAACTAAATTGTTTTAGCTACGTGACTTTACCGAAAAAAACAAAGAGTATGAATCCTTGCAGTCACGAAAACTTCAAATCTAGAACCTGTATTAGTTCCGGAAAGGGTATTTATTATTTTTTCATCCAAGTTGTTTTCTTATTCCCCAACGTGTAAATAAACTGACTCCAATGCTTATTATCCACTAGCTTTCAGGCTTACGTGTGCTGTGAAGAAAGTTCAACACAGTGCTATGAACGGACGCTTTTGAGATGGTTTTGTTACCTGAGCTAGTACACCACTAAATTATTTTGTTGTATAAACGCCAGGGAATGGGCGAAACCTTACACGGTATCATTAATAGTTCACTGATTTCGCACACAATTTGGTTCAGAAGCATTGAATGGAATCCAGCTGCCCCAAGGTTTTGGAAACGCCTAGTTTCGTCTGCTGGCATCTCCATTGTCATCTCTGTTTTCATTTAAACTGTGCATTAATTTTACAACATAATTGCTGTCATTATCACGTATATTTGTGTTTTTTTATTCGATCATTGTGGAAGGTCTTGATGTTGTCTGCCACCCTCAATTGATTTTACAGTACTCGGAAAATAAACTTCTGATTAATAATAAAGGTTGTTTTGGGTTAGATCGCGTAAATTTATATGCGTCGTTAAACCGTGGTGGCGATTTTATATTTAAGCGATCTAACCCCACCCACCCCCCAAAAAAACCTTTCTCATGGACATTGGTCGCGAAAGCCTTCGGGTTAAACAAACTTCTGATTTTAACTTAAACATTTCGTGATTGCAGGAATTCATATTCTTTGGTTCTTTCTGTAAAGTCACGTAGATAGCATAATATAAATAATTAAAAAATTGTGAATACAAAATATTTTCTATCTACGTGACTTTACCGAAATAACCAAAGAATATAAACTTCTAATTCTTCTTAAGTGGGCCGGGAGCGGAACATTGATGGGGGTCAGTAGTTGGGGGGGGTGGGGGCGAGAGGAGGCGGGGGGTCACGTGGCTCAGGGGTCGAGCCGAGAGCGTTCTGGACAGCTCCTCGCGCTTCTGCGTCACGTGGCCCGGACAGCCGGTGGATGGGCTGGGATGGAGACACCTTGCGTGGTTAGAGAGGGAGAGAATTGGGCTGGGATGGAGACATCTCACGTGGTTGGAGAGGTTCGAGTGGCGAGAGGGGGATAATTGTGCTGAGATGGAGACATCTCACGTGGTTGGAGAGGGGGAGAATTGGGCTGGGATGGAGACATCTCACGTGGTTGGAGAGGTTCGAGTGGTGAGAGGGGGAGAATTGGGTTGGGATGGAGACACCTCGCGTGGTTAGAGAGGTTCGAGTGGTGAGAGGGGGAGAATTGGGCTGGATGGAGACATCTCACGTGGTTGGAGAGGGGGAGAATTGGGCTGGGATGGAGACATCTCACGTGGTTGGAGAGGTTCGAGTGGTGAGAGGGGGAGAATTGGGTTGGGATGGAGACACCTCGCGTGGTTAGAGAGGGAGAGATTGGGCTGGGATGGAGACATCTCACGTGGTTGGAGAGGTTCGAGTGGCGAGAGGGGGATAATTGTGCTGAGATGGAGACATCTCACGTGGTTGGAGAGGGGGAGAATTGGGCTGGGATGGAGACATCTCACGTGGTTGGAGAGGTTCGAGTGGTGAGAGGGGGAGAATTGGGTTGGGATGGAGACACCTCGCGTGGTTAGAGAGGGAGAGAATTGGGCTGGGATGGAGACATCTCACGTGGTTGGAGAGGTTCGAGTGGCGAGAGGGGGATAATTGTGCTGAGATGGAGACATCTCACGTGGTTGGAGAGGGGAGAATTGGGCTGGGATGGAGACATCTCACGTGGTTGGAGAGGTTCGAGTGGTGAGAGGGGAGAATTGGGTTGGGATGGAGACACCTCGCGTGGTTAGAGAGGTTCGAGTGGTGAGAGGGGGAGAATTGGGCTGGGATGGAGACATCTCACGTGGTTGGAGAGGGGGAGAATTGGGCTGGGATGGAGACATCTCACGTGGTTGAAGAGGGGGAGAATTGGGTTGGAATGGAGACATCTCGCGTGGTTAGAGAGGTTCGAGTGGTGAGAGGGGGAGAATTGGGCTGGGATGGAGAAGGAGGAGGGGGGATTGGGAGGAGCGGGCGGGGTTGGAGTGGGGTGGGGGAAGTGGGCGGGGCGGGAGAGAGGTTGGGGTGAGGGAAGTAGGCGGGGCTGGAGAGGGGTGGGGGGGAGTGGGCGGGGCTGGAGAGGGGGGTTGCGGAAGGGGGGGGGTCGACGCTTCTGGAAGTTTCCGCGCGCCCATCTGTTCCTCGTCGCTGATTGGCTGAGCGGTCTTACGTGTTTAGATCGACTTAACGATTTGATTTAGATCGGAATCGATTCTCATCCATTCCAGGTTGCAGCCGCGGGTTAGCTTGCAAGCGGATACCTTCTGATTGTTGGGTAATCGTGAGCACGAATACAAACTACCTTGATTATTCTTGCCACAGTTGTATTTCATATATTTAGTAGGTAACGCGGGGAAAGCATACCTGGCAACCCCTATTTAGCGCCATCCTTGTTATAGAGAAATGTAAACCTTATTGGTCACCCCGTGCCCATATAAATATCAACATTCATCGTACAAAGTCCCATCACAAGGGAGAAACACAAAGAGACAAACTCTTAGGTTTTTTTTGGTAAAGTCACGTCGGTAAAAATAAATAATAAAAATATTCTTTTATTTCTATTATTTTTATTATTTACTTTTATTGTACCTACGTGACTTTACCTAAAAAACCTAAGAGTATGAATCCTTGCAGTCACGAAAGCTTCAAATCTAGAACAAAGAGATAAATTATGTTTTCGTTGTTGCCCATGTTGAAACGGCTGTGCGCCGTTGACACCTGAAATCTCAATTTCCCTGTGCAAGAATACGGGGTAAACCGAATGGGTTGACAGGTCTGCTGACTGAACGTGACAGCAAGCCCCCCTTTTAATTATTATTAAACGCTTTTTTTTAACTCACTTCGTCTGTTGTATCCTCAAAAAATAAATATTGTAACTCAATTTTTACACACTTTCCAATGTGCTATCGACTGCAAACTTCGTATAGGTATGTCATACTTATGACAACATGACATTCTATCATAAAAAATCCAAAACATTTTTAACATTTTTACACTTAATTAACTTACTCTGTGTTGTCGTATACAAAAATCTTGTAACTCAATTTCAACCGTATTCCCGGTGTCGTATCGACTGCAAACTTGGTATAGGTATGTCATACTGATGACAATACTATATTCTATCATTAAAAATTTAAAATATATATTTTTTTACAATATTTTTAACGGCTCTAATTGTCCAAGCTCAACTCACGTTGCCGCGATGACGGAGATCAGAAATTGGGGATATTGTTAAAGAGAAATACATTTTCATTGTCGAAGAAAAGCAATGCATGGAGCATTACATCAAGTCTAAAATGGCCCAAAATCAGATGTTTTCGTTCCGGATGACCGCTGCAACGTATGATCTTGTGTTTTAATTTCGTGTGCTGATCTTTAAAGGTGCATTTGAAAAATGTTGATACTCTGATGCTCCTGCTGTTGTGGAGTGACTCATGCAGCCAGCTATGGCTACAGGGTTTGGTGGTACATGTTGTTTTTGTCGTTTATTGTGAAATTTCGGTCACAGTTCCTATGATCACTGTTACATTGCTTTTATGGCTTTATTTTGGTGATTTCGAAAAGTTTTTTTGGTTTGGCCATGTTTGTTTGTTGTAGTACGGAGTTAGAATGATGGATTTAATCTAAGTTGTCTTGTGGTTGTTGTTATTTGACTTGCGTCCCACTGGGATTTTTGCACAGCGTTGGTGTACGGTGCTTTTTCTTCTGGAAGACTTTGCAGTTTTTTCCTGGATTTTTCTGTTTGCGCATAGTCACTTTAAGATGTTTCCTTGTTCATGTTTTTGTTTTTTGTTTGTTGCGCTTGCACCCGATTCAAGAGCCGAATGGCTCACAGGGCTATACCAAATAAATGAAACTGAAAACTGAAAAACTCTTTTGTGTTACATTGAGACAGAACCAGGAACATGGACTAGAGGACATACACAATGTTGGTTGTGAAGAAGATCAAGTGGGCTCGGTTAGTTATGTGGGACACATCGTTGGAAGGTAATTGCTAGCCGATGGCCGAGTCCAACGACAGCGGAAGAAGAAAGAACGTACGAAGGGGAGATGGAGTGATGAATGGATCTCGTGTGCAAGGAGCTGTATTAATTGCTGCACATTACATGACAGCGTGAGATACGCGATGCCTTTATCCAGCAGGGAATAGATCGTGGATGATTAGATGAATAAACTCAAATACCTACACTGTAATCTCCATAAATATCAAAGGCAAAGTTGTGATTATGTGTGTCTGTTCAAAATGTTTAGCGTACTTCCGGACATGCAACAAACTTGAAATTTGCCATGTGGGTACTTTCCAGACTGTACACCATGCAAACATTATTAAAATACACTTTTGTGGTTTTTTTTTTGGTGCGGGAGCACAATAATGCATATATTGTTTGCACAGCAAGTGATCTGTGACGTCAAATCTATCACGTGACCCGCGCACGTGGAAGCGTAACACATTGTAGTGTAGTGGGTAGTGCGCTGCGCTACGAACAGCTCGTAAATTATACAAGCAGTCCTGCAAGTGTCTGCTCACGCCACTGCTGGTGAAAAGGCCCCCACAAGGAGTTTTAGAGAGCCCCTCAAGACGATATTTGGCCTACTCTTCCACGCTGGCCAGACACTTTACCCCACCACACACGACCTGCCGGTCCACTGGTGGACCCATCAATGCTACTGCAATTGACAGAGGAGGAGTGATTTCACGTTTCCCCATTTATTCAATTGCCGTGCCGGGAAATAGACTTGAATCGGCGACCTCTGTGGATAAACATATTAAACTTAACAAATTAGTTTTTTTTTAACATTGCCTTTTTTCGTTTAGTTGTCCTTCCCCAGCACCTATCAGCACGGTTAGCTACGTACGGTGCGAAAGAATTGCACTCAATGTACAAAGATCCCCCGTGTAGCCTTAACCGACTGTAGGGGCAAGTGCTGTAAGCGAGCAGCAGCACCTGTGAAGGTCGGCACGACACACGAGGGGGTGGGTGGCCAGCTCCACGCTCGGCCACCTTTGTCTCCCTAGTGGTGATATTTACGACACACCGCACCGGGTGCTCATTTGAGGCTGAGTCGACCTATTGGGGGAGGCCCAGGACCGGTTCAAAAAATCGTTACCGGTGTTGGCAGTGAGCGGGAATCGAACTCCAATACATACATACATACAGATATTCTTTGGTTCTTTCAGTAAAGTCACGTAGATAGAAAAATAAAGTTAATAAAAAAACAGTAATGTAGACTGTAGCCTGGTTATTACCAGGGCCGGTTTCTTCATTAGGGCGATTGGGCGACGCACCACCAATATCATTCAACCACAGAGTCACGCTAGCCGTCACTGCAGCCTCTGGATATAGTCCAATCAGCGTCATGTCACGTTCTGTGGAGTACCGCCTCTTTTTGGGCGATTTCACTCCGGCTGAGAATCGCCCCGAGTGGCCCCATAGACTTACATTCAAAGATGTTTTTTTTCGACCAGGGGGCGCTCCACTGCATTCTCTACGGCTTCCGGGAGGGCTCGCACTAACGTGCTTACGTCATCATACGTGCTTACGTCATCATACGTAAGCACGTTTCATCCAACAATATAATTTGTGGCCAACTAGTGGAATCTTTAATAAAATAAACTTGAGTGGTTTGTTTTAATAGTGAGTATAGAAACAAACAAGATGTATTGTAAGAGTCACTTTATTTTTCATTAATATTAAAGAAGTGAAGTTGCCTTTACATGCTTAAGCTGTTAATTTATCCATTGCATGGGTGGACCTTATCCTTATCAATCATCCAGACATTTGCCCCCCCTTGAGAGATTTTGCAGGAGCCGCCACTGGTTATTACGTTTGGTGAGTGTACTTGCAGTCTATAATGTAGACTGTAGCCTGGTTCTTAACCTGAATGAGCGCAGCGCACTGGCAGTCTATAATGTAGACTTATTCTACCGCTCCACCCACTCAATCTACGGGTAACGTACAGCACATACAGTACCAAACACAGAATTAAAGTCCGTTTCGGGCAACGGCCCTTATTCATGCACCACGAGATCGGTGCAGCCCCCCCCCCCCCCTGCAATGCAAATACACAAAGCAATCGATTGCCGAGCGCGTGCTGAACACGTGCAGGAGTCGACTAACTCGGCGCATCGACTGCTCGGGTCTTGCCGCCCCCACCCCCATCCCCTCCGAACCACGTGATGAGGAGCCCGCGGGGCTCTGAGCGGGAAGAGGCTGACAGCTCAAAACTGCGGCGGCGCGTTTCTTTGGCCGTGCGCACTCGGAACTAACGAAGCGTTGTGTCGCGATTAATCGAATTGTTGTTCTCTTCTGTTGTGTGTTCTTCGATTTGTTTGGGCTACGACCGCAACTGAGAGGGGTTGGAGATCGCCGGTGCCACGCGTGCGCTGGCTAGCTGGCCGCATTCAGGCACGGCAGGCCTATACTGAAGGCCCGAGTTTTACAACACATGTAACCAGGGTGAGTGAGGTACATTCTCTTCTTGCTCGTCGGCGTCTTACATTTAACCGGGTGAAATGTCGCTTGAATGTCTTTTTGAGTCACGCACAGTGACAAGGCGATCAAGGTGCTGAGGTGAATGGCTGCGTTTGGCGTCCTTTCACCAGATAGCATTCGATCGGGATGCAGTCTTATCGATTCGCATCTGATCTGGTATTTAACCAAGTGAGACGCCACTGGCTTGTGTTTGACGTTGTTTATTTGTGTGTGTGTACAGTGTAGTTGAACTTATTTCGCGCCGTACGCAGCCAACCGCGTTAATCGGAGTTGCGGACAGCCCTTTTTGAGTGTTCTAGTCTCGTGTAAATTTCGTTATTTTAACCAGACGAGACCCCATTGAGAGTCATTTGATGGTGAATTACGGTTAAATTAACACCCTCCGACCCACAATTGCGTCGGGAGCTTCCTGATCCAGCGGCGTATTGACAAATATCTGTAACGCACGTGAAAGAAAGAAGTTGTCTCAGGCAATTGGCATTCAGTTTGGTCAAGAGTAGAGGATGAATAGTGTGACTGATCGTTGGTAATAGTATAACATTACAGTATTACAATGCAGTACTTTGAAACGACTGACATTTGGGGGAAATAAGTTCTAGTACTGTACTCTAGACACGGTCAACATGTAGCGATATTAATATATGGACCTTGCAAATCCATTTCTGGAAGAAGGCCCACACCGTGTTGGTGATGGGTGTTGCTTGCCTATACGTCACCACGCTGCTCAGCATGAGTTTCAGAAGGCGGGGATCATACACGTGGACACATAGAAGTACTGTTCAACTAAATTTATTTTGCTGCACCCCTCTGTCTGCGGAGTAAGTTCCGTATGCACTTGGCTAACAAATGACGTTTAGTCAAAGTTGATAAAGTATTTATTGTTATTTACGACTGTTAGTTTAAATCCGCCTCCTACCAATAACGTGTTGTTGTTAAACAGATCACTGGCAGTGCAGAATGGAGCAATCTTTCGCAGGCAGCATCAAGAGGAAAGGTGCCAAGAAGAACACTGGTAAAACAACGTGGTGCTACTTATAAGTTGTGGTTATGTTGGCACTTGTTTACCCCTGCAAAGCCTCGCTATTTGTATTACAGTGGAGATTGGCACGCGCATTTTCAAATTTGGACAATGACGCCTGAACACCGTGGCATAACACTTGCGAATGTCGTCACGGGGATCTTCATGGGCATGTCAAGCAGAGCTAGGGTTCAATTGTAGTGTTTTTCATGATCAGTTGCAATCACAGCTTGGTATTCATGGTAATTTCAGCTAATATGTAATGGTGCTGCAATTGCAGTTATAACTGACACAGGTCTGATGACCAGTCAACTCTGGTTTTGTTCTCATGACTCCCTTGCAATGGATTTTCTACCTCGGTTGCCACTAAATTACTTACAAATACTGTTGAATTATACATATTTTACATGATGATACATTGCAGGACTGGACATGTACAATTATGTTATTCATTATGCAAAGTATACACCGATACGCTAATATTTCATTTGGGTTAAGATAGCTATTATGTACACATAATACAGAACGAGAAACAATATTTACAAGATGGTAAAAATGAGACGAAATAATTGTAATTGTTAAGTGAATCACGATCCCAAATTGTGACAATTGAACCAGCATGCGAGTGAGTTGGGGGGGTATGAATTGTTACATTCCTATTGCAGTAGCGGTGATGGAAATTAAATTTTTCACCGACAGTGCTGTCATTGCTGGACGACACTGTTGGGGGAACAGACAGCCCCGTCCTGAAGGACAGCAGTCGGCACAGGTCCATCAACACGCCGGAGTCTTTCTGCAGCCCATCTGGTAAACCGCAGAAACAATTGCACAATACACATGTCATATTTAGTTCACATTTTACCTTTGTTGCGCTCTTTGTGGTTATTGTTCTTGTTGTTTAAACATAATTTGTCAACTTAATGAAGATAGCTCTTCTTCTTGGTTCTTTCGGTAAAGTCATGTAGAAGGGAAATAATCAAATAATAAAAATAAAACAATAAAATAATTCTCACGACGTTTCGGCCACAACGCAAGCAGCCGTCTTCAGGTGAAGAACAGGTCTGTCGGAAAGACAGGGTCTGAATGACGAACAGGTCTGTCGGAAAGACAGGGTCTGAATGACCCTGTCTTTCCGACAGACCTGTTCTTCACCTGAGGACGGCTGCTTGCGTTGTGGCCGAAACGTCGTGAGAAGTATTTTATTATGTTTAATTTTTATTATTTTATTATTTCCCTTCTACGTGACTTTACCGAAAAAACCAAGAAGATGAATCCCTGCAGTCACGAAAGCTTTAAATCGAAGATAGCTATTTTAACTTGATCATCCCGTGCCGACTACAAGATCTCCCCCCACATTCTTAAATATATTCTGTGGATTCTACTCTGCCTACTTTTCTATTTATTTCACTAAACTCCTAATTGTATCCCCTGCTCTTGCAGCCTTCTGTTAAACTTGTTCTTCAACCTATGCTTTGATGGGCTGCTGTGTAATCCCTGCTGTTGTTCCTACTTTCTGGAATTCCGTTTTCCTGGCCATTGCATATTGATACGCACTTCCACAATAAAATTAAACAATTCGAAATTTCCAGCAGGGATTATAATGTATTCATAAGGCTGTAAACTCTTCAAATACCCTCGATCTACAAGTTTCTTCTGTTTGTACATTGTCTATATTATAATCACATTTAGAAGATTTAGAAATCGATATTGTACTCAAATCAGGAGGTGCCTGCCTTTCAGTCTGACCCGCCAACTTGGCCATATGAAAAGGAAAGCTAGCATTTACACAGGGGCTGTCCTTGTACAACAAACATATGGTTCTCGAGTCCCAAGGGAAATGATGGACAAACATCTTTCAATAAATCAATTATAGTGGGATGATAATTCGAAAAAAAAAATTCGGGCATCTGTCAATTGGTGTCTAGTGAGCAACCTTAATCAAACAATCACTCCATAAAATATTTTACCTGCTCTGCAGGTCATGTCACACCTTCTCACAAAACACAACAGACACCATTTGGAAAGGGGACTTTTTTGCTGCTTTTTAGTGTTACAACAATTTTGGCGGCCGCTAACTCTTGTGGAGGGCTTCTCGGCGCTTCGCGCCCCCCAATGTGTACCGATACTACTGATTATTGTATTTCGGGTGTGTAAGCATATATGCTGACAAAAGAAATTCGTTTTTTTTGGGGGGGGGAGTAAAAGAAAATTGGGGGGTGTCGACAATTTTTGGAAACCTGTTGTATCAACTTTTTACTCCCACATCTGGGGGGGGGGGGGTGGTTTGCATTCTATAACTTTTTGATTCAGGCCTTCTGAAAAGCTCTTATAATTTAGTTGAGTGACAAACGGAACGCCAGGATTTCATAATATATGCTCTTCCTCGTACTACTTTTGGTTCTCGAGTATAGATTGAATGACGGACATCTGCGGAATAAATGATAGGATGATGTTACTTGATGTGTAAAACCTACTTTTGCCTGCAGTGACACTGCATGGCCATGGCACCGCTCTGCCGTTTGACATTTCCAAAATGCTGAGTCCGGTCAACACCTCATGGAGCACACCTCCGCGAAGGCAAAGCCGAACACCACTTGCCAGGAATACCAGCCTGATGAGGGTAAGCCTGTAGAACTTAACAAAACATTTCCCTAGATTTGTGTGCATGCTATTTAAGAGTCTGTATTATGCCACAGTGTCAGTAATAAGCATGTAATGATTCATCTTTTCCCATGGATTTGGTGAACTGTGATTTTCGCGGTTACCATTTGATCTCGTTTGTAGTTTGCTTTTTATCCGCCTTGTATTATTTTACTCGCTCTGTTAGTTAAATGTATGTCGCATTGTTAAAAATACATTTGCACCCGCACAATTCAATGCGTGCGCCATGAGTGTAAGCATCAATTTTAACCAATCAATAATCAACATCGTGTAGTCGTTGGTGTACTACGCCACGAACCCAGCAACCTGAGTTCGACTCCCACCCCACTCGCCTTCAACCCACGCTGGTCAACGTGGTGAAGTATAGTCAAAGCAATCCCCATGACCAACATGGCATGGGGAGGCTTTCATCAAACACATGATTGATAAAGGGCTCTAAAAAGAATATGACGGACCTTTACATGTGTAGTTGGTGAGCTCGATAAGAACTGTTATTTCCTTTCACTGCGTGTCCCACATCAGGTTTCCATGCTCAATGACAGTGAGTCAAATACGTCTGTACGGACGATCCCCTGGCGAACGACCTTCCTCACAGACGTGCTGTCCCCGGGCAACTGCACTGAGGACCTCACAGCTGGCGCTGCCATGTTGCAAGAAGATGACCCTGGAGTGGCAGGTGAGACTTGGCTGATGCACAGGCATGGATGCTTCACAATCGAACATCATCATTCATTCCCTTGCTTATCACTCTTTTATTAAATGCTACAACCGCAGTCATTATTTTCAATGTACCTCGCGTCCTTACGCCTCTGCCAATGTCACCGACTCATTCTACCAGATTGAATGTGTTCAACTATCGCTATGGGATGGAGCATTTATCCTTTGCTTGTACTGTGTGGCATTCAAACTCCCTCCTGTTGACTTTTCCAAAGCGCTTATATTCTTGCTTAATTAAAAAAATGTGTTACCTGCTGTACTGTCATGAGCGATGTCAGTCGCTCGTCTTTTGCATTATAGACCTTTTGGAGATTGTACTCATCGACTGACAAAAACACAGCAAAAACGTGTTGAGTGTGTGGAAAAAATATATACCCGATGATCTAATAAGGAATTGTTGTTTTTATTTATTCAGCTACGATGATCATGTTTTCCGATTTTCTGGACTCCTTAATCAAGCGCTCGTCCAGTGAGGTCTTTCTCCTGGTGGAAGACTACGAAACTATATGCAACAACCAGGTACAACGTGGGCTCGGTTTAAATATGAAATCAATGAGAAGTATGTATTTACAGATAAAATTTCCAGAATTGTAAGTTCAATTGTGCAATTGGCATCGATACCACGAGACAAAGAAATGTTTGTTTTGGAACTCATCAGCTAGCAGTGCATCACCCTATGGTTAAAAATGCTCGGATAACCACATCAACCGGCATAGACCTGGTAACACTCTTATCCAGCACTGGATGGACATCAGCTTTTGATATAGGAATATCATGTCACCAGGACTTAACTGTGCAGACCTTTACATGACCACTAAACAATACAATGCAGCAGCAACTTTTTAGGAATATGCACTACTTTTCGATGCAATACGGAGGATTGCTTTGTTTTGGCAGGTGTCGTTTTTGAAGAAGATCGCATCCCGCACTGGGCCGGCCCATCATAAGCTCTCAAAGACCACCAGCATCCTATGGCTGCTCAAGCAGGAGATGGTTACGTGGAGACTGCTTGCATCGCTTTACAAGTCAGTACAGCGGCGCACAGCCTGGCTATACCTACCTGCTGTCGGTGCATAACGCACAGCATTGATGTTGATGCAGGGCTTTTGTTATCTGCCAGGCATGTAACAATTCACCCTCCCACCCCCACAATTTGAGGAATTTTCTATATTCAGGATCATGTTTTTATTAAAAAAAAGAATGTCTTTTTTTGTCTTGCATGTACTGTGCATCTTGTTTGGAATATGTATTGTGTGTCCTCTATGGTCTGCACTGTCTTATCTTAATGAAATTTTTTAGCACCTTTTCCAAGGCGCTTTATAGCAATTATACAATTGTACATAGCATGATAATAATTTTAAATAAAGAATTGGGTTATTGGTGTAGTTCGTATGCTTTAAAGCAAGATAAATTGATAAGTATGGGTTTGGATAGGCCTTGTCGTAGTTGGTTGGGACGACAGTAAGTTGGGGGGCTGAAAGGTAATCGGGCAACATTGCATTGGGAAGACAAAGGGGGCAAGGGACTGGAGCCAGGAGGGAGAAGTGGGCCACCGCGATCGAGTCCCCCGCACTGCCGACGACATCCGCAATGTCCGTGCCCGCGACGAGGAAGAACGCGCAGCCTCGGCCCGGCTCGCTTGCCACGGACGTGAAGCTTCCCTCTGTGCTTGGCATGCTGATACGGCGAAGACTCCCCCGGCAGGAGCTTGACCTCCCATCCTTGGGACCGCACAAAGCCCCGATGTCCTCGGGCTGCCGATGCCTCGGCGACCACATGGCCCAAAAAAGGAGCCGTCCGACGCGGATGACAGAACGGCCCACCGGTCACGCGGGATGGCGCGGAAGTTGCACGGCGCTTGTTCGTTGGCAGCCGGGCCATGGGGGGCAACCGCCGGCAGCCGGCCCAGAGGACGCCCGGTGGGCGCGGGGCCAGGCAGGAAGACGCGGGAGGGGGGTGCAGCGCCGATTGTAAGGGGCGGCATGGAACGGGCGATAGAGCGACCCAGCGAGGAACCGCTGGCAGCCAAGCTGCCGAGAGGATGCCCATTGGGCGCAGGAGCAGGCAGAAGACGTGGTCGGGGAATAACAAATAATAGTGGTAGAGGACAGGAAGAAGGAGGAGAGATAGATACAGGGGAGGTAAAGGATGGCAGAGGGAAAATAAGTATCGAGTAGATGGCTGCTGCTGCCAGCTTGCATGGCACTGCCGCCGTGCTACTGTATGTAGTTTATCTCATGTCTTGTTGCTTGTACTCTCTCTCATTTGTTTTGTCTGATCTGTATTGGCAGTCGAGGTCCATCTCAATCTACAAAATATGCCTGTCTTGTTCAATACACTTTCACAAACTGGAAATATCGTGAGCATAAGGCGTAATTTTACTTGTTGCATGTTCACCACCTGCTTGTATTTATACATATACCTGTGTTCAACTCGAACTGCAGAGATCGCGTGCAGACAGCCCTCGAAGAGGATGAAGTGATGCCCATCGATGAATTTGTAAGTGGAACGCTCCCAGCGCCCGCACAGCAAACACGAGCGACCTTGTGCTGCCCCAGTGCAGGTTTAACTGTCGCCCCGGTCTGGCTTTTGTTCCATGCAGGTTTCGGGGCCCAGCGAGAAGAAGGTTATGGAGGCTTTATTCCGCAGAGATGTCACCACCAGGCAGAGCCAGGTACAGATACACGCAGCCGCAGCAGCAGTAGCATTCGTGATGCCTGCATCACTGGGCGTAATCCATGAAGTTATTGTTGTGTTTCCACCACCGTTGAAAATCAGACACAAACCATGCTAGGGCCATTCAAAGAGCCACCTGGCTCCATAGACTCAGCCCTTCCCACTGTTGAGTCTGCCACTTCTCCGTCCAATACCCCTGCAGCCGGAGGGGAGCAAGCGTGAATATTTAAAATTAGATTCTCACACACATTTACTTCCGCTTGAATTGTGTTATACTATTCCAAGTTTTTATGTATTTTTATATATGTATACATATTTTAACTATTACTATTTGTATGTTTACCAGGTAAGGCCCACTGAGCTATATAGCTCTTTTTCAGATGCGACCTGGCCACAAATGATAACTGAACGAAGTGGCTTATCACTTGTAAATTTATAGTAGCCAAATACTCTAAACGCGTGTTGATTCTAAATGTGGTGGGAAAAATGTCCCGGAGAAAAATTCCCTGCGTTTTTTTTTTTTACAACAATAAACACGGCCTTGAAGTGAACTAGTCAAGGGATGCCATTGACTCCCACATGTCCAGTTTCTGTGTTGATCCCAGATGCCTTGACGAGTCCTGAGGGTGGCCTGAATATAAGCAAGAAGCTTTTTTGCGAGAGCGAGCCATGCCACTCTGCTAAATTGAGCCACGCAGCGCAGGTGATCCTGGGCTGGCTAGCTAAGGCTACTGCGGGAATTTGGGCCGAGTTTACCCACTATCCCGGTTCATTGTTTATGTTGAACTTCTTTCATACCGTATGTAGCCAACCGTGCTAATCGGAGGTGCGACATAAACTGGGCTGGCGTGGTTCGCAGTGGTCATGGGGAACGTGGCAGAAATAATGTGCTCTAAATAAACCGCATGGCATGCGTTACATTTCTCTCTGCAGTGTGTTTTTACTTTTGGAAATATCTTATCGTTGTTGTAGGAGTGAAGTAATTTGCAAAGTATAATGTCCTTGGCAGTCTCTTGAGAGATTGCAAACTAGAGCAGCATGCTCCAGTAAAACCTTGCGTATTTCATGAATGAATAAACAGTTATAACTTCTCAATGTTTTATTATTTGTTGTAATCAGTTTATGTCTTGCACAATTGTTGCAATATAATCAGAGCGATTGTAGCACATGATTGAGTGGCTATATTCATGACAAACTGCTACGTATCAGTGAGTTTGGTATCTTCATTTATTCCGGTTTCATGGCAGCCGACTTAACTTTGACATACATTTCCTCCCACTAGGCACAATAATTCACCCCCTAACCCAAGCGATTTTTGAATTGCCGGCATTCATGGTCATTTTTCGATTCAAGAATATTTTTTTTTCTAATTCGCTCTGTCTGGTATGTATCTTCTCATTCATCTCTTTAGCTTGAAAGTTCATTGGCATATAATTGGCACGGACCAACTGGGCATTATAGACATGCAATGACGCTTCGATTAACAATACAATAGAATCAGCACATTAATTATATATGTGTTTAATTACACACGATAGAAGATATTATCTACAATTTATAGATATTAACGACTGTTACATGTAGGCCAATTGTTTCAAACGAGAAAATATATAAACGAGATGGGAATAATCGTACGAAAAAAATTGATTCTTGGGTCAAATCGCTACTCGAATCATGATAGCTAATGGAATCACCGTGGAGCGGTGGATCATTCAATACTTAGTAGATAATACATTGGTAAATTTCGGAAGATGTCCACCTTAATAAGCTGCACTGCGCACAGATTGTGGTTGACTGGCTTGAAAACATCGCCAAAGAGGAGATCGGTGCATTCAGCGACACCGTCCCATTCTCATCGTCCTCCGTGTGCTGGTGAGAACAACATCTCTTTAAACATCCATCAAGGGAATTAAAGTTACAATGTGGATTTATTTAGTGTCCAAATGTGGCCATATCTCAAGAAAGGTCTTATGAATCTGAACAGATGCAGGGAGTCAACAGCATGGATGGCTGTGGGAAGAAAATTTGGATTATAAGGGAAGCGGAGGAAAACGAGCATCTCCCTACTGAGTGAAGGTCGCCTGGGGGCTTTATTAGATAGCCTTTTGGTTTGAAGAACTCATGGAAGGGAGTAGAGTGAGATGAGAGACCGAAGGGGAGTAGAGGCAGATGAGAATGGAGAGGCAGGAGGTCACGGGGAGGACAGTAGAGTGAGAGGAGAGTTAGAAATGGGACCAGTTACGGTGGAGCTTGAAGACAGATTGCAGCAGCAGAGTTTGTCAGTGCTCTGCTTGACCAATAGTGATTTTCTGTTCACGCATGGCAGGGACAACACCCTGCACCTCCTGAAACAAGGAAACCTGTGCAGCGTCCTCGGCATGCGGCGACCTTTTGTCACTGAATTGGTGAGTATGGGCTGTGTCCTGTCGTTGTGCGATTGTCCCAGCTCTGAGCTGTGGCTGTAAAATGTTAGGCGCAGCTGTGGCTGTAAAATACTAGACGCAGCTGTGATGAGTGCGATGTAATACTTGTATGACACTGCGAATGCAACCAATCTCATCATATCTCGGAATTTTATTGGGGTTAAGCCTGGTTAGTAAATGGATGGGAGACTGATGGGGATATCAGGTGGTGTATGCTTGGGCTGTGACGTGTCCAGGAGATGACGGTACACCAATGGTATTATTAAATGTATCTGTAGGGAGCTTTATGTGTTATCTCCTTGTGTATGTGACCTTTCTCTGGGTACTCGGTTTCCTCCCACGTGTGCCAAACACTACTAAAATTGGCCAAACATTCCCATGTATGATCCCCTTGAAAAAACTTGGGAGGCTTTCCTGACAAAATAATGAACGGCAATATTAATATCATTGCATCATCACTACTTTAGTAAGCACTGAACATTAGAAAGTAACCTATAAATCGTTTGTGCGATATACCGATTGCATCTTAAATTCGCTTGTCTGTGATGTGGTAAATGTGACACTGTGGCGCTTTGTTGTGTACTGGCGGAATAGGACCCAGACGCCCCCATTCGACAGAAGCTGCCGCTCGCTGAGCTGGACCAGGAGGACGAGGCCAAGCTGCTGAAGCACCTCTTCTGCCTCATTCGCGCTGGCATGGTCGAGGAGGTGCGTGCGTGCGTCCAGACAGTGTGCACAGGGATGCGTTTGGGCAGATCGCCTCTTTAAGCTATTTATTAAACTATTTTACATTTTATCAGGTACGTCCCACGGAGCTATATAGCTCTTTTTCAGAAGCGACCTGGCCACAAATAAAAGCTCAACAAAGTGGCTTATCACGTGCAAATGTAGAGCAGCCAAATACTCAATGCGGAGGGAAAAACTGGAGGAGCTGGAGAAGAATCCACGCAACTACGAGGAGAAAATGCAAACTCCAAATATATCAGCATGAGGGTCGGGATAAGAACCCACGACCTGTATACAAGGCTAGGGAGTTAACATCTCGCCACTGTGGCAATCAGAATGTGTAAAGTGACGTAATAAGATGTTCTCTGTTCACTAGGCTTCTATTTCAAATGTAACAATGTTTTTCGTTGTATCCTTGTCTGTCTTACATATGCTATCGCCCCACTTGCCTAAACGGTACTTGAGAATATAATTAATTTGTAACCTGCATAAATCGGAAATAATGTCACAAGTGCAGGTTTCATTGGATGTTGCCCTAAAGATAAATTGCAATGGACAAATCAACGTGTCATTTGGTGCCTACTGTTTTCGGTGAGGGTTAGTGGCCAGTGTCTTTGGTAGAACACTATCTGGACAACATCAGACTATTATACGCACCACCTATTCGGAAACAGCCACCCCTCGATAGCAATAGCCACTGCATCACGGGTGCATGTCACTTTGGCTCACATGATCGCACATCCTAGGCTAGAACAGCGCAGCCTCCCACACTGGGGGTTGGGTTTTGTCGTTGTAGTTGCCGCTGCAGTTTGTTTAGCGGTCACTTACGACGTCATGGATTTTGCTTGGTGCGGTGACAGGCGGAGCGGCAGTGCCGGCGGTGTGGGCAGGCATGGCGGGCAGCCACCCTGGAGGGGTGGAAACTCTACCACGACCCCAACTACGACGGCGGTGAGAGCCGCCTCCAATAAATCCCCCCTCTTTTTTGTTACGCTTTCCAACTAAGGTTGAAAGCATTCGCGCATTAGATGTGATCCATTAAAACTGGAATTTTAGGCGTGTTATTATGTGCGATTCACCCTGTGCAAAACTTGGGAAATTGATGAAAGGGGTTGCCCATCGCTTTGCGAGAACACAAATGGTGCTAAATGGATCATGCGCACGCATTCCCTCCCGACTACAACACTCCATGGCTGATGGATGAGACTGGTGACGGAATGGCAGCCAAGGAAGGAGAGAATGCGCCCGACAGACGACCGTTATGGAGGCGAAGCAATGAGATGGGTCACTGCGAAGAAGTAAAATGGACCGTGGGCACCACAGGACTATGGAGGATCGCTACAGCGTGGAGGAGCGTTCATCCAGCAGCGGATAGACCACGACTCGTGTTGATGCGCGGCGTGCATTGTGTTGGTACCCTCAGTGGGCAGCGACGGGGAGCTGCAGCCTGTGGAAGGGAACCCCTACCGGGACGTATGGCGGTCGTGTTGCTGGAGAATGGCCGAGGAGGTAAGGTTTCGTGTGCCACTAGCCCTTGTCCCTTCAGAAAGCATCGAGTCTACTCGCATTCCGTACATGATAGATTTTCACAGATTGCTTTTTAACGCTTTCCAACTGAAATGTTTAAATCGTGAATGAATGCATTAGCTGTCCGTGTGTCTGGCTGTCCATCTCTATGAATCAGAATCTTTTGTTTAATTTTGGAGGAATCTGATGAGCTTTGGAGCTCTTTCTCACAGATGTCCAGTCGGGACAGGTCAGTAAGTTACAACAACTAATAATTAATACAGTAAAGGTAAGAAAGTCACTAAAATTATAAGTAAATAAAAATAAAGTATATAAGTACAAATTGCACATACATTTGTTGTGGGGTGTCACAATGACTCACTTAAAAATTAAATGTTAGTATAAAGCTGTGTTACTACTCGGGCAAAATTAATTGCCCAAAACTTGGCAATAAAACCAGTGTTAAATGGATGAACCTTTTCGACCAGTGCGATTTAATGTCACATGGCATGGGCCATGTGATATCGTGTGCAGCTCGTGAGGGCAATGTTGTCTCTTGAAATTAATGCTTCCAAGCGTTATAGAATCATTGTACATGTATGATTTTTGTTCCTTGTCTTTAAACTGAATTTCTGGGCAAGTTGACATTTATCGCACTACCCAAAATCCAAACCATCACGCATCGTAATCTTTCTTTTGCTTATCAGATGCAAAACCTTGAGACGCAGAAAGATGAGTGCATGGATCATAAAACTCACGCAAGTTAGATTCCTTCATATAGACTTGAAAAAAAAGTAATTGGGTTCGGGCAGGGCACATCGCTAGAAGTGATGATGGCCAATGCTTGAGAGAATCACGACTAAGTAAAAGCCAAAAGGAGGGATACACATGAGAGTACAAACATCGTGGAAATGTGGTGACAAAATAGACTTTTCTGCAGGTGTTAGATGGATCGTTACATCGCCAAACTGTAAGTAATGGTGACAGCTTTGGGATGACTTCATCCAGCGGTAGATTGATCATGGCTGATGATGAGTTGCTTGTGACCTCTCCGCCTAAACGTCAATTTCTTATACAGGAGCAGTTCAACAGACACGAGCGGGCCATTTACGCGGCTCTCAGCGGCAACCTCAAACAGGTGCGGTCATTTGTTGAGAATGTAAAACTGAGCATGTTTTGACAAGATGATATCTGCTAAAATTAAAGTTTATCCTTCAAACACGAGGATCGTGTAGTTAAATGTCATGGTGACGCGTATGGGGCTGGGACTGGGCACGGTCCCTCATCTTCCACACAAGATTTAACGATCGTCTTGTTACGAATTCTCTCCCCACGATGGTCTGATTTTAATTGTGAACGGGTAATTAAGAGGGTGCGGCAGCGGCGTATATAGCGCACTGCGCGATTTAAGCCAGTGGCTTGAGATTGATTCTCGGCTACGGCTTGCAGCAGTATTGAATGATACCTGAACTGGTCTTTGCCCATTCAGCAGCTTGCACTCATGAGCATGGTCAAGTATGGTCAAGCAAGCCCCACGATAGACCGCATGGGGAGGCCTCGATTCATGAGTCCATTGTTTCTGTCGAAGTGTTTATCATCCCATTTGCATTTTTATCTCGTTAGCACAAAGTACAATGTTGTTCGTGCCGTTAGCCTAAGTGTAACAGTGGTATATCATTTGTATGTGATTTATATAAATGTAGATTAACATAGAATTAGAATTTTACTGCATCTCAAGACGCTATATATCAGTGGGAATTATTATTTTATAAAGAGAAGCAGTCACGCTGAGGGTAAAGGAACAGCATTGAGCTTGCACTTGGAATGGGATGTGAAGTCAACAGAACTAATGGCTGGGGGAATGGCGTTTCAGACGATGGGAAGCACCAGAGGCGAATGAGTGACCTCACAGTAAGAAAAAGTGAAATTGGGGGCTTCGACAAAAAGTCTTGCTGCAGGAATAAAGGTGCTTTGAGGGCGCGTAGAGTCCGATGCGAGGGGGGAGAGGTAGGAGAGCACGTGGAGGGGAGAAGAAAGAGCTAATACAGGAGAGGTAATATGAGTGGTCTTGTTCCCGTGCGGGCGTGGACGCCGCCCTGTGTTGTTGTCGTGGGACCCTAGATCCTGCCGGTGTGCGAGTCGTGGGAAGACTGCGTGTGGGCATACTTCCGCGTGCTGGTGGACCAGCTCGTCGAGGCGGAGGTGCGCACGCTCGTCACTCGCCCAAGAGAGCTGGTCAACCTCCCCGCCGACGGCACCACCCTCGAGTGAGCGATGTGCCCCCTCTTCCTCCCCCCCCCACCCCGACCGTCAGGCACATCCCTGGTGCCCGTTGCGGCCGGTGGTTAGATGCTGGGCTCTTGACACAGAAGGGGGACATGGGGTGTGAAATATAAACTTTTGGTACATTTTGTAAAATAATTATTATGTGAAAATAGGTACATTTGTTTCGTTGTTTTCATACACTGATAACAGATATTATGCACTGATGTCTGTAATGCCATACGGTATATTCACTCGCTATTAATGTCGAATACATTTTTATTAGATTAATAGTTTAAAATGTTCTTGCGTTCATGACGCAAGCAAAGTAGTGCTTGTGTATTTATTATTTACTTTCATGCATATTACGTACAAATTATAATGTTGTGCATAGGTTAACGGAATAAACAAAACTGTTCAAGAAACAATTCAAATGAGATGGTAAATGAGTAAAAAAAATATTTATTCTCGACTCCGAATGGTGAAAAGTCATCAGACCACTGCTGGGGAAAATCTTTACACGATTATTATAGTCACTACTACTCGTATTTGAGCGACATAGTAGTTTAGCAATACTTAGCGCAGTTGGTAAACATCGAATTCTTGTTTAATTTACTGTCAATAAATCGCAGCGCCAGGGGCTTGGAATGTTAAAAGCGTGTCGTCTTCGCTCGGCAGTGGTGTGTTATGGGTGGCACCTGCCGTGCCAGCTGTTACGTTGAACATTAGCCAGGCTTTGTCTAATCACCCATGGGGTCATTGCTTCAACAATAGGCTGTCATTGTGCGATAACATTGGTCTATAACAAGCACCGTTTTTTTATATGTATATATATTTTAAAAAATCGCAACTGTCCTTTTCACTCATTCCAAACATCTTTATTTATAATTGAACTAACTGTTTGTGAGTGATCGACCTGATATAAATACTAATTATGTTCTAAGGGTTACAAGGTTACGTTTTGGACATGGGTAAAAGCGAGTCGTAAGCTAATTTCTACACACATTTGAAAACTAAATTGTTATATTTTGGGCCTCCTAAAATTGTGGACCAATTCTTTTAAATGTTTTGGTTTTGAAACATCGGCCCTATAAAAATGTTTTGAACAGCGGTGACTAGAAATCAAATCTTTCTCTAAATCATAGGCTCAGGTACAGTTTGAGATCATGGGGAATTAAAAGCCCCCTTACCAGTGACGAGCATTACATAATAATGGAATGCAGTGTTCTTGACAAAAAATCTATATATTATTCAACCTTGGATTTTGACCACAGTATTTCCTTTGTGTCTAAATACGTAGGAACACATTTACAAAAATGTGGGTCTGGCAGAGTGAACATAGTAGGCTTAATAAAGTTAATCTTAACGGATTGCTCATACCGTCATACCTCTGCGCCTGAGTTTGAAGTTAAATGTAAACAATTAACGCATTTTTTAACCTCCATTCTTTGTTAAACAGCCTGACGACTGAAAAGATTTTTGAAGATCTTCAGGCCACTGATAACACGGTAAGAGTGACGCAAGCACAGTGTGATAAGGGGCATGTCAGCGGCCTGCGGTTATCCAGCGTTTGACACGCGTGTTCATCCAGGTGGCTCGCCATGCATGATTCCCCAATCGTTTCACACAAGATATGAATTCCCAAGTGCCTTGCGTCGCAAACGGGTGTGAACGCAGCTCTTCAAAATCCCCAGCTATTTTAGTTGATCCTTAGATAAGAAACGGCGATGTATGAATTAATAAATCAATTGTGCATTTAATAGCATCAGTCCATTATTCTGGGTGAAATATCTTTCAGTAGTGGTGTGAAAACTGCATCCCCGTATGAATTAGTTTTTATTTGATTGAATTGTTTTTTTCTATTTAAATTAATGTGATGTGGCCTTTGTTTAATGTGCTGAGTAGAGAGTCCTGGATGAAATGAAGGAGCCATTTCACATCATACAGAAGTACATCATCCTGTCCGACATTGATGGTAAGACTTAGCACAATACTCTACATTACTTTTAAATACATATTTTATTGAATAACGTTTATATATGCATCTGAAAAATAACCTATAATGATGCGATATTTTTATTTTTAATATAATTCTGCAGAATATGGTGGATTTTGCACTATTTAATAATAAATTTCAGCCCTCTTAAACCACTGCTGGATGAAGTGGTCCCTAGCAGTGTTTGTTTATCACCATACTTCACCTCGCCTGGTCGGTGCAATCTGTGGCAGGGAATTGAACGCGGGCCAACGGGTTGATGGTCGAATGTGGTACCTGCTGTGCTACAGTTCTACCCAGCAAGAGTGCATTAAGGCTGCAATATTTAAAACGTAACATTTCAGAATGGCATTTGTACGAATGAGCCGGAATTAATGGTCAATAAAAAAACAACTCGGTGGTTAAACATGAGGCTGGTGGTGTCCCTTAACTTCCATGAGTGAGCTCACTCTATACATCTATCAACTGCAGAGTCCGTAGACCAAAACATTTGGTCTGTTGCATACAGCAGTAGAATCAACATGACTGATGTTGACAACGAAGCCGACAGTCTTCCGGCGACTCGGTACATCCTGCGCATCCTGTATCGGCGGGGCACAGCTGCCTCGAAGGCCTCACCTACGCACTTCAGCCGACGTGCTTGTGTGACGGGAGCGGTAGCGTAGCGGTTCAAGTTCATTTATTAGGTATAGCCCTGTGAGCCATTCGGCTCTTGAATCGGGTGCAACCGCAACAAACAAAAAACAAAAACATGAACAAAAAAACATCTTAAAGTGAATATGTGACTGAGTGCAAACAGAAAATCCAAGAAAAGACAGCAAAATATTGCTGCTCTATGAGCCTGGCGACCTGACTTCGATTCCCGCTCAAGGCCAACACTAGTGACGATTATCTGAACCGGCCGTGGGCCTCCCCTAGGTCGACTCGGCCTCAAATGAATACCTGGCACGGAGTGTAAACATTGCCACTATGGAGACAAAAGGCGGCTGGGCGTGGTGCTGGCCACGCACCCCTTCATGTGCCGTGCCGGCCTTCATAGGTGCTACTCGCTAACAGCATTTGCCCCAACAGTCTGTTAAGGCTATATGGGGGGATCTTTGTCTTTGTGTATCTTCAGGGCTGCTGGGTGAATTTTCTCAGTGGCTGTCGCAGACGGCCACCTTGCCCCCCCACTTGATGCGCTTCATGTCGCACCTCGTGCTGTTCTTCCGCACGCTGGGCCTGCACACAAAGGTGAGAACGAGGAAGCGAGCGACTTGACGAATACTATGGGGACCTCATTTGCCAGTAAAAATATGATAATTGGTTCTTTACCCTTCTATCTGGCAACAAAACTGACACCTTTTTGCAAGGAGTCATGTTTGCATAGACCGCAATACCTGCAGTCATAAATACAAACAAAAGACATAACTCTGATAATGTGCACTGTCCTTGAAGTTGATTGGTCCACACCCGAGACAGCTTTCCTTCGAGCCTAGTCTCATATGGGTTGGACCAGATGACGCCAAACGGCGCACGCACGACTTGACGAATGTTACGGCTGTGCTATCGGCGTCGCGTCATGAGACGGAGAATCCGTTTGGATCTCTCGCAGGGCAGTGCAGCCATCCGTGTTGGAGAGCAGTCCTCGGAAGCGGATGTTGCAGAACTAGTTGTGAGATCCCTTCGAGTGACCTCGGGTCCACACAACACACAGAAGCAATTTCGCACCTGCCCTGGTTGAGAAAATGTTACTCTTCTTGGTTCTTTCGGTAAAGTCACGTAGAAGGGAAGTAATAAAATAATAAAAATAAAACAAGCAGCCGTCCTCAGGTGAAGACCAGGTCTGTCGGGGAGACAGCGTCTGAACGTCGTGAGAGTTTTTTTATTATGTTTTATTTTTATTATTTTATTACTTCCCTTCTACGTGACTTTACCGAAAGAACCAAGAAGATGAATCCCTGCAGTCACGAAAGCTTTAATCGAAAAATGTTACTCACCTCTCATTAAAAACCTTACATTTTAATTCTCAACAGCTTGCATGTAACAAAACGAAGTGAAGAACCATGCTTCTTGCCATGGCTTTTTCCCCAGTCATCAATGACCAGGCTAAGACCTCAGAACCCCGTTTAATCACAGGTGCCTGCCTGGACCTTGTACCCACGATCTCTCGGTGGTGGTGGTTGGTGCTGTGATCTCGGAGCCAGCCACGTGGGCACCTCTTGAATGATGGCTGAATGTCTGTTTGCAAAGCTCTCACGAGTGTAAAATGACACTGGTACATTGCCAGAGGCTTAGAAAGTTAAAATTATTCTTAATACAGCGATACTGACTGGGACAATATAGAATTGCTAACAATTTATAATGAAAAAATGCATTTCATCTGTTAGAATATAGGCAGGTAACGACTCGCCCAGGCCTAACCGCAATTAGATTAATTATTTATGATTTGGGGGTCATGATTTAATTTTAGAATAATTATTGTTTTGCCTTGTGAACCTGCTGGGTTTGTGTGAACTCATCACATTGCATACATCCGTTGGAATGAATCCATTTTTAAACTCATGATTTGATGCCTATGTCATAAGTGCGGTAATAGGAATAATGCATGGATTACTTTTCACCTTCATGTTAGATGCCATTGAAGTCAAATAACTGTGTTTTTTTTATTCAGGAGGATGTGTGTGTGGATGTCCTGAAGACATACGTCGAGGTAAGCCACTCCGGTTCGTGTACTCGTGACTGAACGACTAGTAAAAGGCCCCATGACAAGTTCCCCAACAGTTACGAGCCCCCTTGAATCCATCTGGTTCTACCAGTGTTGCATCGTTCGATGAATAAAGATGACTCTAGAACACAAACAACTTTCTGCAATGAGGTGGTTTTTCCACTGTATCAATACTGCTTTTTCTGAGTTTCATGAATCAGTGTTGAATCCTAATGGTGAGTCTTGCGCTGTGCGATGAGCCTTAGGCAATACATCTAAACCCCAAGGATCCTAAAGGTGCCTTAGCCTGACTGTGTTATTGTGTTAATTGGCGCATATATGTGTATATACTGTGCATCGGCTGCTCAAGTCTGCTCACGTCTGCTCACGTCTGCACACCCATTTACGTATCCAATCTAAATAACCAAAATAATAAGTGAAAGTGTAATTATTACATCTCACATGACCTGGCAATGTCCTGTGTGTGGACGTTCTGGCGACACCCACAACTTGACTTGCATAAACTGTGAAGAAAATGTATTCATTAATCCAGACGTGACACCCACAGAGTGTGGTGTGCATGCCTCCAACTTTGAATTTGGGGCGTGTAATTACGTGCCAATGTTGTGGTGCAAATTTGCAATACATTTACGCAGTGGTTCATTTGTAATAATTTGTTGAGCTTTCACAATCTTTGTATAATGTAATAATGATCGTTTGTAAATGCCTGCATAATATAAAATGTGGATGCTGTAAAACATAGCTTAGGATATCAAGTTCTCACATTCACATGAAACTTCTCTATAATCTGAACGGTTACTTCAAGTGTCACTGTAAATGACCTGATGGTTAAACCTCTTATCACCTACAGTTGAGACAGCATTTGAACAGCACATACTCTCGCAGCTCTAGTTCCAGATTCTTCTCTTGTATGCTACATGCCAGGTTTTCTAGCTCGCTTGGCTTAATACGGAGCACATGGTACGCTAAACCATACCATGGATGGCCTGCACCCTCCCTGAAAAGCAATGCTTGCCACAAATGAACCACAATACCTTGCTGATCTCATCAAGGAACATAAATCATCACTCGAATTCCAGTCATCCTTGCAGCGGTGGCTTTTTGGTTAGCCATCGAACAAAGGTGGTCACCGCATTGCTCGCTTTCAGATGCACTTCCGCGTCCTTCTAAAACTCTCTCTTCTGATATTAGGAAGCTACTGGAGCTATGCACTTTTAAATCTAGATTGAAAACTAATTTATTTAGAACTTATAACTCTTAATTATTTCGGTAAAGTCACGTAGGTAAAAAAATTAAATAAAAATTAATAAAAATAAAATAATAAAAATCACGACGTTTCGGAGGCAACACAAGTCTCCGTCATCAGGTGGGACCGTCACAGCCAGATTTGCTGTATCAAGTTATTATTAATTATGAATTTTAATTTCATTTTTTACCTACGTGACTTTACCGAAAAAACTAAGAGTATGAATCCTTGCAGTCACGAAAGCTTCAAATCTAGAATTATTTAGAACTGCTTTTTGCGTTTAGTTTGTAGTCCTTTCCCCCGCATTTCCGATTAGCATTGTTGGATACGCACGGTGCAAAAGAAGTTCTACATACATAAATACCTACCCCCAGCTGCTGATGCGAGAGGAGCGCACGGAGCTGGTGGCGTTCTACGCGAGCCACCTCCCGCCGGAGGTCGCCGTGTCGCTCTACGCCACCTTCCTGGAGGACATCACTGGCACGGCGCTGCGCCAGCACTGCCTGCAGCTCGCCGAGAGAGCGGGTACCTACGCCCGCACTCGCGCCACTCGGGGTGGCGGTGGGGAGAGAGGGGCGCAGGTGGGGGGGGGGGGGGGGCAGTTTGGCCCAGGTCTCAGATTCGAGGGACCCTCAAAGATGGTCTCTCATCTGGCATTTTTTTCCCCAAAGCCTCTTAAAAATCTTTCGGTGTCTTGCGTGTTGGTTGTGAAATGCTTTGAGAGTGCCGGGATAACATTTGCTCAAAGTCGCACTTTTTTTTTTCGAGTGAGAAATAATTTAATTGCAGGAAGAAGAAATACAAAAATATTATAAATAAATTGCTCTTATCCAAGGTGACCCTGGCTAGAGGTTGACCCTGATTCTATCACGTGACTTACAGCTCAACAAAATCCCGACCAACTTGTGAAAAATGGGAAACTTTAAGAAAAATGCGCTCCAAACGATAAAACAAAAAGTTGTTGTCTTTCGGAATTGAGCCGAGCATATATATATATATATATCTGCTGTCGCCCTCTCCGGGCAGGACTGGACGTGGCGGCCGTGACCAAGACGATCGTGGAGAACGTGCTGTGGCCACGACTCGGGAGACTTCGCTCACCACGACTGCACGGCGCTCCTCGACGCGACCACCACTCCGGTATGCGCACACGTGCGTGCGTTGGGCGCAGACGGACGCTGTCACTCTGGCACTTGTTTTCTTTGTCCTGGGAGGTCTACGCCCCCTACGCTTGAGACCTCAAGAGGTCTTCGGTGGAATACGTGCAAGTGGCAGCGAGTATAGATAGGATTCCACCTCGTTTTCGCGTGTTTTTGTTTTACAAGAGTCCTAGGTATGCATTGACAGCACTACTGTGTAATATCGCATGTCAAGCTGTGTACACCGTAGAAGCTAAATATCAACACGGCTTGTACGAGTACATTTATGATGCTTGCAGATTCTGGTGAGTGGATTGCAAAGCGCAGCTTCTGATACAAGCCCACTTTTGGAAATAAGCACACGGTGCCTTGCCCCCAAAGTGTGTGCTAATATGCAGCTTGTTTCATCTGCAGCAGTTCCTAAGCACACACACACCACGTGTATTTCCGGATAGTAACAGCTATATAATGGATTTTTGGATGGGATCTCACAGTTTATGCTGTGCAGCGCTCGGTGGCACTGCGTCCAACTCGTGTTCGTGTGTGTCCATGTGCTCACCCACAGGAGGACAAGAAGAAGATCGATGCCATCGAGTGGTTGGTATTCGACCCGAGCCAGCGCATCGAGGCACTCCGGCAGAGCAATGCCATCATCCGGACGTTCCTGGGTACGAGTCCACGGGTCAACCTCGCAACTCCGAGCCTTACAGATGAGAACAGATGCCATGCATGCACTGCTTGTCCAACTTAACTGTCAAACAGGGCTCACGGTTATCACTTTTATGGTAAATACAAAATTAAGCAAACCCATAATGCATACTGCTTACATTTTCGATTCATTAACACTTTTTAAAGTAACAAAAAATTAACTAACGTAAATTAAAGCGTGACATAGAAATAAGTATCTGGTTACACTGCACAACTGAGCTGTGCCGGGCATGTACAGAGTAAGCCCAGCATAGCTGAGAAGGGGTCAAGTTGTTTTTCCACTGTAGAAGCCATGCCGTGCTGCCAATGTCACGTGAAATGAATGAGTCGAGTCGCACATGTAGATAGCGCGGTGACGCTGTGTCCCTGCGGTGTATTGTCTCGTGAGGCTGTGTCACGATTCGGTTCCAACTCGGCTTGGAAAATCACCAGTGGAAAAACAACCCGTACTGTGAGGGCCCAGCGTTGGCTCGGCTCCGATGTGCTCGTGGAAAAGGGGTCAACGGAAACATTTACTTTCCCCCAGCAACCAAGAAGCACGAGGCGGCCAATGCGGCGCTGGAGATAATCCCGGTGGACTCCATCGATGTGATTTATCGGCTGCACGAGGAGCCGGCCATGGAGGGAGGCGGCGGTCGCAGCATGGAGAGCAGCGCTAAGAACACCATCAGGGAGCACCTCTCTATACGCTTCTACCTGGTAATGGTCATCACGTCCGCCCCACGCAGTTGCACTTACAACAAATTCGCGCGACCTCACTATTCGATTAACTGCCACGATTCGGGGTTTTTGGTTGAATGTTTACCTTTAAACGTTGCGGCAAATGCGGTGACTTCTAATGGCAGGAGAAGGTGTCGCAAAACCCATGATGTACAGAATGTTACATACGTCCTGTTCGTCAAGCCACTGCTGGATTAGTGCCTGTCCACACCGTGTGTGTCGTAGGGGTTGTTTGACCATACTTCACCTTCCTGGTCAGTGCAGGATGGTGTAAAGGCTGACAGCGTATACAGGGGAGCATAGTACAGTATAACAGTGGATTTTGTTGTACTCTACAACTATGGAATGGATTTGAGTATTGTGGTAATAGTTAACCCCCTGCGATTCAATGAGTTGTCACGATTCGATTTTAAGAATCCATTTTTGTTATTTTATGCAGATAAAATCCAAAGTGGATGCTAGGTTTACATGAACCAATTGCGCGCAACATTTATGAATCAGAAAGTAGTAGAATATCTTAACCCACGTGATTGGATCACGAGTACAAGAATTAAACTTAAGAAATAAATCATTACGATCACATTATTCAATATCTCATGATTTCCTGAAGGGTGGCTTTTTACGATGGGAAAACTACTTCTTATCCTTTTAAATCTATTGTATTATCCTCGGACACTGATAAACTATGGAGCTAGCTCCTTGCATACCATCTACCCAGATACAATCTGTAGCAACTGGAAAACGGGAGTTTTCTTGATTTTTTTTGTTGGTTTAAATCTCTCACACTTTGATGCTATTATTAGGTGACTTGAGAGGGCATGCTGGCAGACTAGCCTCACCTCGACAACATTACCAACCCTTGAAAATAAGTTTGGAAAATGCATGCATACGCACGGATTGTGTATGCTTCACAATATGCGTTTGTCCTCTGAGGTATATTAAGCAAGCACTTTCAAAGCCATCTGATAGTTGTCAGTGTAAAATTATTGAGCATTTTTGCAAGTAGTTATGTTTGGCCTGGTTTGTGTCTGCAAGTTTTTTGGCAGCCCTTTGATAAATCAGTTTTTTAATAGGGTAATTCCCAAACAGCAACATGACGTTACACTTAGAGGTCCGTTCATATCGGATCATCTTTACGAGAATTACAGTACTCCCCTCCACCCTGTTATGGACGGGCGAGCGGACAGCTAATGCGTGCATTCTTTCCACTTTCGTTTGAAAGTGTTAAAAGCGAAACCGGGAGGGAACATTTAGTGTTGAAACAGGATAAGGTGGGGGGGCGGGGGTCATAGTTGAACGATTGCGGACTCTCCCGCTCTCTCTCTCTCGACAATCTGGTTCCCGGGCATTGTCCTTTTCCAGCAAGCACACGACTCCTTCAACGCCTGGTTCTGCCACTACAAGCAGGAGCCCAGCAAACCGATGCTGCCCACGCGACACAACTTCTGCGACAAGGTGGCGCACGAGCAACGCGAGGACCAGTACCAGGTACGCACGCCGCGGAGGGAGCAGCGGAAATAAACGGCGACGGCCGCGATTGCGACTGCGACGACGTCCGCTGCGTACGTTGTCTGTGACCCCGCGCTCGTTGCCCCCACCCCCACCACGCCAGCTTGACCTCAAAGCGTGGGAGTCCCAGCTGCGGTTCCTGACGGCCCAGGCCAAAGACCACATCCACAATGTGCTGCTGTTCGTGGAGGGCGGCTGGATGGTGGACTCGCGGGAGGTGAGCCTGGGGTCTGGAGAGCGTTACAACGGCCCCTTTGATCAAACAAGATTCGTACCGCTTCAAAAAATATCTTCGTCATTTTCTCCTTCGATCCCTTGCTCTTCATGATTGTCGGGGCACAGCTGCTCTTGCCGTAACAGTACCTGCCCACGCATTTGTTTTGTCTCCACTCGTGCCAGAGTGGGTAATCCAACACTCGTAATTTGTTTCCTTAAATCCCAACCGTTAAATTCCCACCGCTGAGGGAGGTGATGCTCTGGATTGGCTGCCAACGGACAAGGCCTCGCCAGGGTCTGAAACTATAAGCGTTGCTCTGTTTGATGGCTTATCGGAAGCGTCCTTGCATCTGCGGACGGACGCCTGCGTTTTGTTGTGGGAGAAGTGTTACATGAACTACAGCAGCAAGGGCACATTGCTTTCAAGTTTGCCACTGCTTGCATTGCAGCAGATAAGCCGTGACACCTTTTTTTCTGATTGCTTTTAGAAAAAATTGTTGTGTGTGAACATAGGGAGACAAATTTAAATTAAGGCAAGATATCACCGCGGGTCTTATCTGTGGTCGAAACATTAACTCTGGTCGATGGTTTCATAGAGCGGTGCACTCTAACCACAGCGCCACTGTTCCACCGAAATAGCTAAGATACTCTCCAGAAATTTGAGGGCAGATATTACCGGAAATTGTCACTGGCAGGTAATTGACTTCGAGCAACTCCTGACAATTTGTACATAAATTGCAAATACGGACAGAACTCTGCCAAGAGAACAAAAGAAAATACTGCTGAAAATTGCCATAGTGCAGTGTTGGCCTCTTGTTTCCCGGCAAGCCGCATTGATTCAATAACTTCTGAGATCCCTTCGAGTGAGCCCTGCTCTACTCAGGAGGGATGACTCGGTGTCCTGTATGCATGTGTTGTTGCTGTGCCCGCACGCCCCATCCCCCGTTTTTGCCTGCTCACCCCGTGCGGGGCAGGAGGGTGGCGACGAGGACGAGGATCGGGCCCGGCAGATGCGCCAGCTGCGCCACCTGTGCCTGCCGTCCATGTGCTTCCTGCTGCACTCGGTGCTGCATGGCGCCGGCCTCTACCAGGAGTGCGTGCGCCTTGCGGACATGGTCGCCGACAAGCACAACGCAATCTACGAGGCACGTGGCGCCCCCACTGCCTACCAAGACAAAGTTCCTGTCCCCCCCGTGTAGCCTTTACAGACTGTAGAGACAAGTGCTGTTAGCGAGTAGCACCTACGAAGGCTGGCACTATGGCACACGAGGGGTAGGGAGTGGCTAGCAACACGCCCGGGGGTCCGCTTTTTATCTCCCGAGAGGTGACGTTTACACGCTACACCAGGTGCTCGTTTTGAGGCCGAGTCGCCCTCGGGGAGGCCCAGGACTGGTTCAGATAATCGTCAGTGGTGCGGTTCGCATGTGCCCCAGTACTCAACAGGAGGTAGTAGTCATAACCCTAATCCTAGTCTTCTACCTTTTAAACCAGAGACATAATAAACCTGAGAAAGGACTATGCTTTGCATTGATGCGGGTTAGCGGAACATTATGATTGTCTTCCGTAAGCTTGCGACCAGTTGGTTACACCAACTGCTTTTGAATACAAGCCTGGCTTAGCGCATTTGGGCTGAGCTCGTGTTGGAAGAGCAAGCGCACACACAGGCCTGTTGTAAGTGCACAGACGTGTGCCACTGGCACACGTACCGCTTCTCGCTTGAGGAGTGAAACTGCCCCAGAAGCCCAGGCGCGTCTAAACAGGGGATCATTGTCCCTGCGCCTCTCTCTCGAGACTGCATGCACCACCACAGTTCCCAGCTTCGAGTGAGCCAAGGTCACGGACTTACAAGCCCAGTCACTGAAGGCTGCGTGCTGCAGAGCCGACTCCCAAAAGGGGTTCGAGGCTAACGTTTTCCCTTTTTAATGTTTTTATTGTTTTGACCGTGTGTATGTGTGCGCGCATGTGTGTTCCCACTGCACCCCCCTCACCCTCACCCACACACAGGTGTTCAGCAAGGAGGAGCTGCAGACCTTCCTGCAGAAGGTGTGCGAGTCGAGCCTGAAACTCCTCGACATGAATTTGGACCCTTTGGGCTACGACATTCACTCGTTCTGAGTCTGCTGGCCAACTTGTGGGGTTCTGGGTGACAATAAATAAAAACAATTGTTTGTTGTACATTGGTACATTGAGCTGGTTTATTTTTTTCTAAATTCAAATTCCCCCCCCCCCACCCACCACCTCCTATGCAGGTGATCCGTATCACTCGAGCCATTGTGAAAGTGCCAGGAAGTTTGTTGCTTGATTCATCTTTCTCGTATATGTGTAACCTGCCGTGGTGATTTAATTGGAGAACAGCAAACGCGACAGTTTGTATCACTTTCTCATTAGTGTCGGAAGAGTGCGCGCCCCTCACTGCCTTGGGAACTGTGCCGTGTCCTTGGGCAAGCCACTGCCTATGAAGCCCGTACCTACCGATACGGGAGTGTTATGCATACACATTCTAGTGATTATGCTATGTTATGGTTACAACTCCCCTCACTTATTTTGTAATATGTTTAAATCAATAAAGTTTTTTTTAAATATCGTGTTAAGTCTAATGCGTTGTCTTGTGGTTAGGTCGGCGGACTTGCCAAATGGTACGATATACGGCACTTGCATTACAAAGTGGAATTCGAAATTATTTTATTTGATTTATATTATTTAATTTTACCTACGTGACTTTATCGAAAAAACCTAAGAGTATGAATCCCTGCAGTCACGAAAGCTTCAAATCTAGAATTCGAAATAAGGTTAACTTAATTTTCAATCGAGCGTCGTAACGTAGGAGAAACGCTGTAACCCAACTTCTGAAAAGTCTACAGCCGGTGAGTCTCAAGGTCAGTGTTCGAGACAGGCACTTTGGTAGAGCTGAAACTATCAACCATCGATATTATTGATTCCTCTTGGTTCTTTCGGTAAAGTCATGTAGAAGGGAAATAATAAAACAAAATTATAATTCTCACGACGTTTCGGCCACAACGCAAGCAGCCGTCCTCAGGTGAAAGACGTCTTTCCGACAGACGCTGTCTTTCCGACAGACAGACAGCGTCTTTCCGACAGACCTGTTCTTCGCTTGAGGACGGCTGCTTGCGTTGTGGCTGAAAAGTCGTGAGAATTATTTTATTTTTATTATTTCCCTTCTACGTGACTTTACCGAAAGAACCAAGAAGATTAATCCATGCAGTCACGAAAGCTTTAAATTGAAAATTATTGATTCCTTTTACTGATTATTACTGCTTTGCAATAAGCATAGCATTTTCATATAGTGAACACAACTAATTTTCACATCCAATGTTGAGGTAGGTGGGCATTGCTCATGGTCATCGGCACATGACGCCTACGTCCGTTGCCGTGAGCTTCCAGCGTTTCGGAGATCCGATATCCTTCCGTCCGCTATTTCAAAATAAGCGGCTGATTAATCGAATACAAAATATTTATTACAATACGATTTTGATGCATGTGATGTTTAAATGCGGCCACATCTCAATGTGCTGCGCATAAACTTGGTATATATTAAAGGGTGTTTGAGGTTAGCGATTGGTCGTATTAGCTGTAGCAAATGAAAAAATACAATTACTTTACTATGTAAGTAAAAAGATTGTGTTTAATATTTACGTTTTTTTATTGTGGGTTTTTTTTAATAACATGCGACAGGCCCCGCACTAGCTTAATCCGGCACTGGTTGGCAGGGGTGAGTTCCCTGAGGGTCTTTTAAGACGGTAAATGCCACCTTAAAGTCAATGAATGATTTCATCACTGCACTTGTAATTTGCTTAAATTACTCTTGAGTTGAATGCATACCTTTTACAATTGTGCTCGCTGCAATCGGATTGTTACTTTGCAGCGTTCACAGGCCAACGTTCACCAGGTGGTTGGAGGTGCTTGCCTCTTAGCATCAAATGACACCGACAAAAACAAATAACACGTTTCTCATGGACAGCTCTTGAGAGGAATGTGAAATCTGGCCTTCCACCCAAATAGCGATGCCATTCGATATGTGAGATGAACAATCCTTAAATGCTTTAGAATTAAAGACGGACAAAAAAACGAGATTGTATTACAGAATTTAAACATGACTGTCTTCATGTTTAATGGAGAAAACCTATGCTCCATTGTTATTTATCGCGATTAAATTACTGCAAAGTGTGGGCCGATGCGAGTGGCAGCATAATACAAATGCAGTACTCGTTTTGTACGTTACCTCTTCACTCCAAGTCAAAACAGTCAACGTGAATCATTGCTCAAACGAGCATTGATGCAGTGCTTATTATCTCCCCTTTTACAGTCCTGCAGAGCCAGGTGGTGGAAGTTCCACATTCCTATGACGGCGGCGAGTCCTCACCATAGAACAGCCATTGTTGACTTCCTCACAAAGCGGTACTCATGGCAATGCCTGAGGGGTCACCCCCCCCCCCCCCAAAAAAAAAAAAACATGATTCGAACTCGCAACCTTCAGAATGCGTGCCCACTCACTCCACCACTGGCTCACCACAGTGGCGAGATGTTAACTACCTCGCCTGGTATACAGGAGGTCGTGGGTTCAACCCCGACGCTGACGCCTGCTGTATATTTGAAGTGTGCATGTTCTCTCTCTGTGGTCGCGTGGATTTGTCTTCGGGTCCTTCAAATTTTCCCTCCGCATTTAGAATCAACGTGCATTGAGTATTTAGCTGCAATACATTTGCACGTGATAGGCCACGTTGTTGAGCTATCATTCGTGGCCAGGTCGCTTCTGAAAAATAACTTTATATCTCGGTGAGCCTTACCTGGTAAAATCAAACAGTTTTGTTTTTTTGCGTCCACCACTGAGTCTCGTGTTGAGTCGCCGAGCCAACCTTTTTTGCTGTTACAACTCAAACATGGCTTCAGTTTAAAAAAAATGCTGTAACCCTACCATCAAGTCAGCGGTTACAAACTAAAAAAAACCCCGCTGGAATCATGTTCAATTGAATAGCCACGTCAAACGTTAAACAGTGATAAATGACCAACTTTGTCATGTGCCCTGCGGACATGCTTTTTAATGAATCGCCCTCGCCCTGTTGCGAGCTCCACTCCCGGCCCATGTGGCCGATCGGCTTCAGATGAGCGAGTGTGAGAGCATTTGTTGTGGTTGTAGGTGAGTGGGTGTGTGTGTCGGTGAGTGGGTGTCGGTGAGTGTGTGTGTGTCGGTGAGTGGGGAGCGGTAGTGTCGCGGTTAGCGCGCTGCGCTACGAACCTGGCGACCCGGGTTCGATTCCCGCTCACGGCCAACACCAGTGACGATTATCTGAACCGGTCCTGGGCCTCCCCTAAGTCGACTCAGCCTCAAATGAGTACCTGGTGCGGTGTGTAAACATCGCCACTGGGGAGACAAAAGCCCGCCGGGCGTGGTGCTGGCCCATCCACCCCCTCGTGTGCCGTGTCGGCCTTCATAGGTGTTCGCTAACAGCACTTGCCCCCAGCAGTCTGTGAAGTCTACACGGGGGATCTTTGTCTTTGTGTGTGCGCGCGCGCGCGCGCCCGAGTGAGCGCTGTGAGAGTGCAAATCTCTTGATCCCGGCGACGGGGGATGTGTGTTTGGACGAATGAGCGCTCACACCTGTGCGGCCGTGGCCGTGACGGGCGACGCCCGGAATGCGGCTGGAGGGAGGAAGGGAGGTGGGGGAGAAAAATGAGAGAGAGAGACAGATCCACGGGGGGCGGACAAGTCCCGACGAATGACGAAGTCCCAGGCGAGTGTCGCTTACACGGCGTGGGACGAAAAGCGATACCGCGGGCAAGCAAGCAAGCAAGCGGCAAAAGCAGCGATGGCAGCCGTGGCAGCGAGAGCACCACCTGAGCGGTCGGATTCTAATAGGGGGGGACCCAAGGCACGCGCGCACACGAAAGGAGTTGGGATTTCATTTTTTTTGCCTTTCGCGCAACATGCGTACGATGGGTAATCTCCCCGTAAAGCATACGTAATTTGACAGCGCGGGATTAGCGCTTAAAGCTGTAGTTGGGATAACTGTCACTGTCAAAGGGAAGGGGGTGGGGGGTGCGTTCGCTCTCTCTCGACGGGGTTTTTGAGAGTCGTATGAAGTAATGGGGGGGGGGGAGGAGGGGTTCCCTTTTTCTCTTTCTCTGCCCTCTCGAGAAAATTGCATCACCAATGGCATATTTGCACAAAGTAGCTTATTTTGCTGAATGTCGTGTAAAATTAGGGACACTCAATTTGGATTGTTGGGGGGATATGAAGAGCGGTGTGGAAATTGGTATCGGTGCCTGTCGAGAGAAATAAAATTTAAGCGTCGACATTTTAGTGTCATTGCCCGGAGTTCATATTTAAAACGCACGCCTAAGCCTATTTTACGTTATAAGTACTTGCCGTAGTAATTTACGTTGAGAGTGAACCGTGCGATATTTAAAAATGAGCCATTCAAAACTGAAACTTTCAATGCCATCAGCTGCTCTGAACGGTCGTGCCATGTAACAATATATCATCCAGGCACGCGAGCTGGTGCAATTTATCCATCTTCATTGACGTTTGGCGAGATGTTAACTACCTCGCCTAGCACACAGGAAGTCATGGGTTCCATCCAGACCCTGATGTCTGTTTATTTTTAGTTTGGATGTTCTCTCCGTGGATTTTTCTCCGGGTCCTCTGGTTTATTCCCTCCACATCTACAAACACGCGTTTCGAATATTTAGCTGCTGTGAATTTCCACTTGATAAGCCACTTCGTTGAACCATCATTTGTGGCCAGGTCGCTTCTGAAAATGAGCTGTTTAGCTGAGTGGGCCTTACCTGGTGAAATAAAAAAAAAACAGTTTGGTTTAGTTTTTTTGTGTTTTTGGTGTATTTCACCTTTAGCTGTCGCCGTCGTTAAACTTTAAACGTAATGGCTTTAAACATCGTGATCCCCACCCAGTATGAGCAGAGACGTAGAGATGACACGAGCTCATGTGCAGGACAGAGATGGATCGTGGCATCGTGGAACTCTTCGGGATAGCGATGGCCGTGGCATGGGGAGTCCTTCATCTATCAGTGAATAGAAGATGGCTCACGATGGTGAACGCTAGCGAACGATGGGCACTCTCCCGTGTGTGCTTGTGGCTACGAGCACCAACCCATGGGCCATCGAGCTTTAGCGCTGCCTCCGAAAAAAATAAGCGAAGGTCGTGCATCAGCAACTCACCAACTCTCAAGAAAAGCTCAATCACTACGAACTCTATACCATAATAGTTGCTCTTCGTTGACCACGTGACGAGTGCATCCTTCCCGTGAAATGTCCCTGCGTGTCTGTGTTACGAATGCAACGATGCTGAAAATGCATCGATTAGTAATGGGTTCATAAGCTCGCACAGTGCACGCTTCGAATCGCGTGTATGAACGCATGTCGTATTCATAGGTGGTGTATGTAATGGGTTTCACGCGATTACCTCCAGTAACTAAAGGCCGCTACGATTGCCACAATGTAAAATTGTAGTCGGTCGGGGTGGGGTGGGGAGAGGGGTTTGATCACAGTCACGCCAATGAGACAACACATTTCCATTGGGAATACTGCAGCTAGCAGTGCACCACCT